GCCACCTCCCTTCCCCTCCCTTCTCGCCCCCTGACCCCAGCTCGGGTCTGAAATGCTGTACACTGTCCAGCGCCTTGGGATGTGAAAGGCGCTTTACAAATGCAATCTTGTTGTTGTTATTGTTGATGTCTCTAACCCGTGCTGTCACTGTCCTGGGAGTACTGAACGGACAGTGTAGAGCAGTGGTGGCCAACCTTGTTCTTGATTGAATATTTCTTGATTTATGCCCTAAATCAAGAAATATTCAATCAAGAAAATGTTGGAAAAACACTATTGATTAAACATGGACTTATCTAGACAAGTGCAAATGTTCGACGGGCCACCACTGGTGTAAGAGGAAGCTTTACTCCGTCTTTAACCCATGCTGTCACTGACCTGGGAGTGCTGGACAAATAGTGCAGATGGAGCTTTACCCCATCTCTAAACTGTGTTGACTGACTACCTTTTCTTTTAGTTATAGTGGGAGACTGGAAGAACCATTTCACTGTGGCCCAGAATGAATAGTTGCGGATTATGCAAAGAAAATGTCGGGAACATCACTGACTTTCCAAAGTGGGCTGTGACAATTTTTGTTGCTCTGAGTCATATACACAGCCACTTGTAGCGCTCTCCCTCGCGCACAGGCAGATTTGCGCATGCACTCCCACACGCACCCACTTGTTCGCTCGCATATGCACCCACTCACTCATGCGCGCACATATTCGCTCACACCTACCCATTCACTCACGCGCACTCACACAGCTTCCAATGTCAAACTAAAGAATTACAGATGCCAAATAAAATAGAAAGTAGCTATGAAGACCTCGCCTCGTGAACTGTGCTTGGAGCATGGGGCGGAGGAGATGCTGAGCTTGGGGCACAGGGTGGGGAGGAGAGATTTGGGGGCTTAAATTGTGTGTGATGAACAGTGGAGCACTCAGTGGGACGTGATGGTAGGTTCCCCCAAGTACAGTACTATAAAGGCAACATTTTGTTAGGAAAATATCTAATTGTTGATTTGTTTCAGTATCTGAGGATGTGGTGGACACCATCTTTTGTTTCGACAATGTCCTTCAGGACAAAGCTGAGAAGAAGTGAAGGACATTGTCGTTGTTCTCATCTCTCTTCAATGATACAATAGAAAATTACATTTAGAAAGCTCCTTTCACATCGGGAGGATGTCCCAAGGCGCTGAACAGTCAGGGATTAGGACCTGAGCAGTGGGGTGGGGGGATATTGGGATTATGGAGGGTGGAGGGCAGAAGAGAAGGTAGGAAGATGGACGAAAGCATGGTCGCAAAATCATAGCAAGTCCCAATGCAGGTTAGGCTTGTGAGTTATAAGATGTGCATGCAAACAACTTTCCTTCGTGATTCCGAACTCCTGGAAATCCAGTGGAAGAATTTCCTTTGGCCCATTTGTGTAGTCCAGGACCAAGCAGTGAAGTGGATTTATGGTAAAAGAGGGATAATGGCTTCAGGGTGGGAGGGCTCAGTGACATGTCACTCAACATCCTGGCAGCAAAGGTAGCTTCATGGTGGGCACCTGTCTTTGCCGATCCCTCTCACATGAGGACCTGGATTAAATAGTTGGTGAGAAGTAAACTTAGACTTCTCGACCATCAAGATGGCTGGCACATCACAAGCTGTCCTGTAAAGGTCCTCCTACCATTCTGAAGGCGTTCATTGAATCACATATATTCAAGGCTTGTTATCTACCTTGGTCCCCCCACCTGCTCGGGTCCTAATCCCTGACTGTTCAGCCCCTCAGGACGTCTCCCAATGTGAATGGCGCTTTACAAATGTAATTTTGTATTATATTTGTATCCAGCGAGACTCTTTGGCAGTTCTTGTTGGGACAGTCACTGGAGGTTGGGATTATTCTTACTCTGCTCATTTTAGAATCTTGGAAGCCAAGACCCTGGATAGGGTGGTAGTAATTGGAAAAGCACCAGGAAGCTTGTCAGGCAGTGTTCACAATGGTAAACTATGTGGTTTTAGCTGGTTAAACTCCAGCAGTACCCCAATACACACTGCATGTATGGAATTCTCAGACTTGTTTGAATAATCCTAATACCAATGCGCTTCCACATAGCCCAGCATAACACAAGGTACCTGTGGGATGTGTGTGTGTATGTGTGCGGGGTGGGGGGGTGTCCTGTGTGCATGGATCCTGTGGTGTGTGTGTTGGTGGGGGTGGGGGAGTGTAGTCCTCTGGTGTGTGTGTTGGGTGCAGGGGGGGGTAGTCCTGTCTGTGGTGTGTATGTTGGGGGAGGTAGACCTGTGGTGAGTGCTTGTTGGGGGGGGGGGGGGGGGTTAGTCCTGTGTGTTTTGGGGGTTAGTGTGGGGGTGGGGGTAGTCCTGTGGTGTGTGTGTTGGGGGTTAGTGTGGGAGGGTAGTCCTGTGGTGTGTGTTTTGGGGGATAGTCCTGTGGCGTGTATGTTGGTGGGGGTGGGGGAGTGTAGTCCTCTGGTGTATGTGTTGGGTGCAGGGGGTTAGTCCTGTCTGTGGTGTGTGTGTTGGGGGAGGTAGTCCTGTGGTGAGTGTTTGTGGTGGGGGGGGGGTTAGTCTTGTGTGTTTTGGGGGTTAGTGTGGGTGGGGGGTAGTCCTCTGGTGTGTGTGTGTTGGGGGTTAATGTGGGGGTGCGGGGGTAATCCTGTGGTGTGTGTTTTGGGGGGGGTAGTCCTATGGCGTGTGTGTTGGGGGGGGGTAGTCCTGTGGTGTGTGTGTTCGAGGAGTAGCCTTGCGTTGTGCGGGGACGGGGGGGTGGGGGGTTGTCCTGTGGTGTGTGTGTTTGGGGGGGAATGGGTGTGTGTGTGTGTTGCGGGTGGTAGCCTTGTGATATGTGTGTGTTGGGGGAGACGGGGTTGTCCTGTGGTGGGTGTGTTGGGGGTGGGGTGGGGGTTGTCCTGTGGTGTGTGTGTTGGAGGGGGTGGGGGTTGTCCTGTGGTGTGTGTGTTGGGGGTGGGGGTTGTCCTGTGGTGTGTGTGTTGGGGGTGGGGGTTGTCCTGTGGTGAGTGTTTGTGGTGGGGGGGGCGGGTTAGTCCTGTGTGTTTTGGGGGTTAGTGTGGGTGGGGGGTAGTCCTCTGGTGTGTGTGTGTGGTGTGTGTGTTGGGGGTGGGGAGTTGTCCTGTGGTGTGTGTGTTGGGGGTGGGGGTTGTCCTGTGGTGTGGGGGTTGGGGTTGTCCTGTGGTGTGTGTGTTGGGGGGGGGTTGTCCTGTGGTGTGTGTGTTGGGGGTGGGGGGGTTGTCCTAAAGTGTGTGTGTTGGGGGGGGGATGTCCTGTGGTGTGTGTGTTGGGGTGGGGTTGTCCTGTGGTGTGTGTGTTGGGGGTGGGGTGTGTGTCCTGTGGTGTGTGTGTTGAGGGTGGGGTGTGTGTCCTGTGGTGTGTGTGTGTTGGGGGTGTGGGGGAGTTTGTACTGTGGTGTGTGTGTTGGGGGTGCGGGCGGGTTGTCCTGTGGTGTGTGTGTTGGGGGGGTTGTGTGTCCTGTGGTGTGTGTGTTGAGCGTGGGGGGGGGGGGGGGGTTGTCCTGTGGTGTGTGTTGGGGGTGGGGGGGGGGTTGTCCTGTGGTGTGTGTGTTGGGGGTTGTCCTGTGGTGTGTGTGTTGTCCTGTGGTGTGTGTTGGGGGTTGTCCTGTGGTGTGTGTGTTGGGGGGTGGTCCTGTGGTGTGTGTGTTGGGGGTTGTCCTGTGGTGTGTGTGTTGGGGGTTGTCCTGTGGTGTGTGTGTTGGGGGGGTCCTGTGGTGTGTGTGTTGGGGGGGGTCCTGTGGTGTGTGTGTTGGGGGGGGGTCCTGTGGTGTGTGTGTTGGGGGTTGTCCTGTGGTGTGTGTGCTGGGGGTTGTCCTGTGGTGTGTGTGTTGGGGGGGGGGGGGGTTGTCCTGTGGTGTGTGTGTTGGGGGGCCTGTGGTGTGTGTGTTGGGGGGGGTCCTGTGGTGTGTGTGTTGGGGGTTGTCCTGTGGTGTGTGTGTTGGGGGTTGTCCTGTGTGTGTGTGTTGGGGTTGTGTGTGTGGGGGGGTCCTGTGGTGTGTGTGTTGGGGGTTGTCCTGTGGTGTGTGTGTTGGGGGTTGTCCTGTGGTGTGTGTGTTGGGGGTTGTCCTGTGGGGTGTGTGTGTTGGGGGGGTCTGTGGTGTGTGTGTTGGGGGGGGGGGTCCTGTGGTGTGTGTGTTGGGGGGGGTCCTGTGGTGTGTGTGTGGGGGGGTCTGTGGTGTGTGGGGGGGGGTCCTGTGGTGTGTGTGTTGGGGGGGTCCTGTGGTGTGTGTGCTGGGGGGGTGGGGGGGGGTCCTGCAGCCCACTCTGCGCATGTGTGGGTTCATTTGAACTGCAAGGAGGCGGCAAAAGATGTAATGCGGCGGTAAAGAGACCAATACATTGTAACTGACAGACACACACACACAGTGACACACACACAGTGAGAGAGACTCACACACACACAGTGAGAGAGACTCACACACACACAGTGAGAGACTCACACACACACAGTGAGAGAGACTCACACACACACAGTGAGAGACTCACACACACACAGTGAGAGACTCACACACACACAGTGAGAGACTCACACACACACAGTGAGAGACACACACACACACAGTGAGAGACTCACACACACACAGTGAGAGACTCACACACACACACACAGTGAGAGAGACTCACACACACACACACACACAGTGAGAGACTCACACACACACACACAGTGAGAGAGACTCACACACACACACACAGTGAGAGAGACTCACACACACAGTGAGAGACTCACACACACACAGTGAGAGACTCACACACACACAGTGAGAGACTCACACACACACAGTGAGAGACACACACACACACAGTGAGAGAGACTCACACACACACAGTGAGAGAGACTCACACACACAGTGAGAGACTCACACACACACACAGTGAGAGAGACTCACACACACACAGTGAGAGACTCACACACACACAGTGAGAGAGACTCACACACACACACACACACACACACAGTGAGAGACTCACACACACACAGTGACACCCACACAGTGTCGGGGTGGAGGAGGGGCTCCGCTCCCGGGGATGGGCTGGAAATCGGAGCATCTCCTGATTGTGGTGTCGGTTCTTGGAGGTAAGTTAGAGCCGAGGCTCAGCTCAGGCCTTGTGCTTACGGGGGGTCAGGCCTAGTGTTTACAGTGTGAGGGGGTCAGGCCTAGTGTTTACAGTGTGGGGGGTCAGGCCTAGTGTTTACAGTGTGGGGGGTCAGGCCTAGTGTTTACAGTGTGAGGGGGGGGTCAGGCCTAGTGTTTACAGTGTGGGGGGGTCAGGCCTAGTGTTTACAATGTGGGGGGGGGGGTCAGGCCTAGTGTTTACAGTGTGAGGGGGGGGTCAGGCCTAGTGTTTACAGTGTGGGGGGGGGTCAGGCCTAGTGTTTACAGTGTGAGGGGGGGGGTCAGGCCTAGTGCTTACAGTGTGAGGGGGTCAGGCCTAGTGTTTACAGTGTGTGGGGGGGGTCAGGCCTAGTGTTTACAGTGTGAGGGGGGGGGTCAGGCCTAGTGTTTACGGGTGGGGGGGGTCAGGCCTAGTGTTTACAGTGTGAGGGGGGGGTCAGGCCTAGTGCTTACAGTGTGAGGGGGTCAGGCCTAGTGTTTACAGTGTGTGGGGGGGGTCAGGCCTAGTGTTTACAGTGTGAGGGGGGGTCAGGCCTAGTGTTTACGGGGTGGGGGGGGGTCAGGCCTAGTGTTTACGGGGTGGGGGGGGTCAGGCCTAGTGTTTACAGTGTGAGGGGGGGTCAGGCCTAGTGTTTACAGTGTGAGGGGGTCAGGCCTAGTGTTTACGGGGTGGGGGGGGGTCAGGCCTAGTGTTTACAGTGTGAGGGGGGGGTCAGGCCTAGTGTTTACAGTGTTAGGGGGTCAGGCCTAGTGTTTACGGGGGGGGGGGGGGGTCAGGCCTAGTGTTTACGGGGGGGGGGGGGGTCAGGCCTAGTGTTTACAGTGTGGGGGGGGGGTCAGGCCTAGTGTTTACAGTGTGAGGGGGTCAGGCCTAGTGTTTACGGGGTGGGGGGAGGGTCAGGCCTAGTGTTTACGGGGTGGGGGGGGGTCAGGCCTAGTGTTTACAGTGTGGGGGGGTCAGGCCTAGTGTTTACGGGTGGGGGGGTCAGGCCTAGTGTTTACAGTGTGGGGGGGGGGGGTCAGGCCTAGTGTTTACAGTGTGAGGGGGTCAGGCCTAGTGTTTACGGGGTGGGGGGGGGCGGTCAGGCCTAGTGTTTACGGGGTGGGGGGGGGGTCAGGCCTAGTGTTTACGGGGTGGGGGGGGGGGTCAGGCCTAGTGTTTACGGGGGTGGGGGGGGTCAGGCCTAGTGTTTACAGTGTGAGGGGGTCAGGCCTAGTGTTTACGGGGTGGGGGGGGTCAGGCCTAGTGTTTACAGTGTGGGGGGGGGGGTCAGGCCTAGTGTTTACAGTGTGAGGGGGTCAGGCCTAGTGTTTACGGGGTGGGGGGAGGGGTCAGGCCTAGTGTTTACGGGGTGGGGGGGGGGGTCAGGCCTAGTGTTTACAGTGTGGGGGGGTCAGGCCTAGTGTTTACGGGGTGGGGGGGGTCAGGCCTAGTGTTTACAGTGTGGGGGGGGGGGGGGTCAGGCCTAGTGTTTACAGTGTGAGGGGGTCAGGCCTAGTGTTTACGGGGTGGGGGGGGGTCAGGCCTAGTGTTTACAGTGTGAGGGGTCAGGCCTAGTGTTTACGGGGTGGGGGGGGGGGTCAGGCCTAGTGTTTACGGGGTGGGGGGGTCAGACCTAGTGTTTACGGGGTGGGAGGAGGTCAGGCCTAGTGTTTACGGGGTGGGGGGGGGTCAGGCCTAGTGTTTACGGGGGTGGGGGCGGGTCAGGCCTAGTGTTTACGGGGTGGGGGGGTCAGGCCTAGTGTTTACGTGGTAGGGGGGCGGGTCAGACCTAGTGTTTACGGGGTGGGGGGAGGTCAGGCCTAGTCTTTACGGGGTGGGGGGGGTCAGGCCTAGTGTTTACGGGGTGGGGGGAGTCAGGCTTAGTGTTTACGGGGTGGGGGGGGGGTCAGGCCTAGTGTTTACGGGGTGGGAGGGGTGGTCAGGCCTAGTGTTTACGTGGTAGGGGGCGGGTCAGACCTAGTGTTTACGGTGTGGGGGGGGGGGGGGGGGTCAGGCCTAGTGTTTACGGGGTGGGGGGGGTCAGGCCTAGTGTTTACGGGGGGGGGGGGTTAGGCCTAGTGTTTACGGGGTGGGGGGTGGGGGTCAGGCCTAGTGTTTGCTGGTCACCAGGTAACAGAGGCAATGGCGTATTCAGTTACTGTGAGTGTGAATATTCACGTTGACACTGACAATTCAGTCCTCCCCTCCTCCACCCTCACTATCCCATCAGAACTGTCTTAATAATAATAATTGATTTAATCTTTAATTGTGGAGTCCTGTAGCTCAGTGGTTAGAGCAAGTGAAAAACCCGGGTTCAATTCCCGGCAGGCGAAATGCTGGACAAGTTTCCTTACTCCACGTGCCTCGGTTTACCGAGCATTCAATAGGAACCTGGTTGTTGGTCAATTGGCGGATCACTTTTCCGGGTGGTAATCCCTCGATGAACCCCATCAATCTGAATTTCGTGCTGCTCACAACACAGAGGCAGCCCTGGTCAAAGTGACGAATGACATTCTGTCCACCTGCGACCAGGGCTCACTCTGTCTCCTCGTCCTTCTTGACCTCTCGGCCACTTTCGATACTGTTGACCATTCTGTTCTTCTCCGCCGCCTCTTCTCTCACCTCCACCTCAATGGTTCTGTTCTTGCCTGGATCCTATCCTACCTTTCCCACTGTCTGTAGTTCGTGGCCATCAACGGCTTCTCTTCTAGCCCCCGCACTGTCAAGTGTGGCATCCCTGTCCTCAGTCCCCTCCTCTTCAATCAATACATGCTCCAGCTCGGTGATGTTAACTGTAGGCATGGGGTGGATGACACCCAACTGTACCTCTCTGCCTCCATCCTCGACTCCAAAACTGTTGATGTCCTGGCTAATTGTCAGTCTGACATCAAGTTCTGGATGAGAGCCAACTTCCACCAGCTCAATGTTGGCAAGTCAGAGGCTCTCCTGCTTGGCTCCCGGCAGCGTTTTCTCAGCCACTGACACTGTCACCATTCATGCTGCACTCTTCACCTCACCGAGCCAATTCAAAACCTTGGTGACCTTTTCGACCCTCAGCTATCCTTCAAACCCCACGTTCGTAACGTGGCCCGTTCTGCCTTTCCACACCTCGGCGAAATTGCCCACCTCTGCACCTGCCTCTCACCGCAGGCCGCTGAGACCCTGATCCATGCTTTCATTATGTCCCGGCTTGACTACGCCAACTGCCTGCTCACTGGACTTCCCAACTCTTCCCTCCACAAGCTGAAGATTATTCAGAACTTTGCAGCTTGTGTCCTCTTCAGCACCTGGCTCCCGGAGCCCATCACCCCTTTCTTGCCTGGCTTCATTGGCTCACCATTCCTCAGAGAATCGAGTGCAAAACTCTCATTCTTACCTTCAAGGCCCTCCGTGGTCTTGTTCCCCCCTACTTCTCCGATTTCATAACCCCCTATCAGCCTGTCCACTTCCTTCGCTCGCAGACACTGGCCTGATTCAGGTCCTCCACACTTCCCGCTCCACCATTGGCGGCATTGAGCAACTCTGTCCCCACACTCTGGAACTCTATCCCGAAATCCATCCGCCTCACCCCCTCCCTTGCCTCCTTCAAGTCCCGTCTGAAGACCTTCCTCTTCGATCCTGCCTTCGTCCACTCTCCCACCCCCACACTGCCTGCCCTCCTCCCCTTCTGACCTCAACTCCCAGCTCGCGTCCAAAACCCCTGATTGTCCAGAGCCCTGGGACATCTTTCCAACGTGAAGGGTGTTCTACAAGTGTAAGTTGTTGTAATATTCCCTTAAAAAAATTAGTAAATCCGTCACTCAATCCATGATTATGTGTGGGACACTGCTGTGAGCAATTGGTTGCTGCATTTTGCCCACAAAAGCATAGTCAGTTCACTTGAAAGTATATTCTGTGAAGCGCAGTGTATTCTGTGAAGCGCTTTGAGACATCTTGAAAACGTGATAAGGCGCTATATCAAATGCAAGGATTATTATTATTACTGCTCAAATGCCCTCCTTGCCGGTCTCCCCAGCTCCATTATCCACAAAATCCAGTTAATCCAAAACTCCACCGCCTGCATACTCACCCGTACTAAACTCTATATGCCCATCACACCAGTTCTAGCCAGGCTCCACTGGCTCCTACCACCAAGTGGATCGATTTCAAGATCTTCACACTGGTCTTCAAATCTCTTCATGACCTGGGACATCCCTACCTTTCTGACCTGCTTACTCCCCAACCCACTACCCGCTGCCTCTGCTCGAATACCTCTGTTCCACCAACGGTGGCTGTGCTTTGAGCCACTATGCCCTGAAACTCTGGAACACTCTTCCCTCAATCCCTCCATCTTGCCTCATCTTTTCTCATCTTCAGTTGCGCCTCTTTGACTCTGCCTATTGTTACCTCCCCCTGGTTCAGCGCCTTTCTCCACCACTGTTAAGCTCTTTGGGATGCTACCCTGTGTGAGGGCTGCTATATAAATGCAAGTTGTTTATTATATTTGTATGCATTGACCATCAGTCCACGACTGTTTGTGGGATACTACTGTGCACAATTGGCTGCTGTGTTTCACCCACAAAATACAGTCACTTCACTTTACAGTATAAGCGAAGCGCTTTGAGAGATCTGAATGACGTGATAAGGCGCGATATCGAATGCAAGGATTATTATTAAACAGTCAGTACTCTTTCCAGTAAATACTGTGAAGTGCTTTAATATGTTTGGACAGTATGTTGAGGTGCTATATCAGATTCAAAGATATTTTTTGTATTGTGTTCCTTTATTAAAACCACAGTAGCTTAAATGCTAGACTGATGGTTGTACATACAATATTAAGAATTTTGTGTAATAAAGTTGTGGAGAATGGACGCTTTTGTTCCTGGGTTTGAACCCAGGTCACCAGGTAGCAATTTGTGTCATGTAACCTTTGTGGTACTGTGGCTCAGGTTGATAGCACTCTTGCCTCCCAAACAGATAGTTGTGGATTCAAGTCCCACGTGAGGACTTTAAACTCGTATAGTTTGGCTGCAACTTCAATACTGTGCTGTTGGAGATGCCGTCCTTCGGATGAGGCATTGAAATGAGGTCCTGACAGTATTCGTAGACATTAAAGATCGCATGGCATTATTCAAAAAGAGTAGTTTCTCTTGGTCAACAATCCCCCTAATAAAATTCGCTGTCCTGTTTGCCTACACTTTAGTGTACAATTTACAGTACAACAACAACTTGCACTTATAGCACCCTTCTTCAGGGTAGTGTCTCAGATTGCTTAACAGTGGCGGAGCCTGACTCCAAGCCGTGGGGGAGGTGACTGTAAGCACAGTTGAAAAGGAAGGTTTTGGGGATTTTAGAGTACACTACTCATACCTAGTATCATCTAGTAAATCTCTGCACTTTTGCCACCCAGCTAAGCAATCGTCTCTTGTCATTCCATGTTTAATTATTTAATTAAATCAGTAGTGGAATTGTTAAAGTTTTCTGCGTTTGACTGAAATGGTAGGGTAAGTCTTGGGGTGGGGGGGGGGAGAGGAACAATAGAGAATTGCTTGTAATTAGCTTAAAGTTATTGAGATTTTTTGCAAATTCCAGTGAGTGAACTAGAAGTTCTCAAGTGGTTGCTGAAAGTAGATTTGTTTTTGTCACACAGTCCAATTCTAACTCTTGTCATTGGAATACAGTAGGAAATTGTGTGTGCGTGGCGCAGAGAACCGAACATATCCATGTTTGACAACTAGACTTTTGATTCATCTCAATATTTGATGAGTGACAGTTCCATCACTTAGTCATGTGTAAATTCCACAATTTAAATGGGTTTTGCAAAAGCTACTGCGAGAGGCGATTGTTTTAACTTTTTGGTGAGAGTCCTGCCTTGGTAACCTTTTGTTGGGTGAATATACTTCTCCAATTTTTTTTCCTATCAAGTCCATGGGTGCAAGCAGCACGTCAGTACCTTGCCATAAGTAGTCATGTGAACCTAGATGCTGAATATTGACATGTTGTTGGTGCATTGAGGATATCTCAATCAAGCCCAATCTCCTGTCGTCATCTAAAATCTACGCGTTATACTAACAGTCTAAGCCATTGGGAATGAGAATTCTGGCTGATTTCTCTCCACACTAAGCCCGGGGACAATGAGGTCAGTTTCATTATCTCCAATGATGATCTTCTGAGATCAGCTAACTTAACCCAGATCAGGGATCACACCTGTCACATTATTATAGTAATAATAATCCTTGCCTTTGATATAGCACTTTTCACATCTTCTCGACGACTCAAAGCGCTTCACAGAATAGACTGTAAAGTGAATGGACTGTATATTTGTGGGCGAACGCAGTAGCCAATTGCGCACAGCAGTGTCCCACAAACAGTCATGGATTGAAAAATGACCAATTTATTATTGTTTTGTTTTTTGGAGGGATTATTATTAGGTGTGTGGAGTAAGGAAACTTGCCCAAGGTTTCTCCCTGCCTGGAATTGAACCCAGTGTCTCACTTGCAAAGCAAGTGCTCTAACCACTGAGCTACAGGACACATTCTGTGTCCTTGTGGTGCATTTGACTTCCTGAGTCTTCAGGAAAGCCTCTTTTGCTTTTCTACTCGAAACCGTTTCTTTAATAGTTTTGTTTGAAATGTTGAATGTCTATTTCAATGTCTGATTTGGAAGCTCGTGGCACCAACAACAGGTTACATTTACCCCCACGGTTTAATTGATTTAGGGTTTTAGTTGATGTTACCTTAGCTACATTAAGCTAAGCTTGGTTCATTAACTCCTTCAAGCCAGTTTTCTAGATGTTATCAACAAATTTGTGATTCAAGCAAACATTTTAAATATCAACAGAGGGAAACGTTAAATCACCAACAACAATTTTACGTTTATGTAAAATTTATGTAAAATTGCATGCCCGCGAGGATGTCTCAAATCGCAGAGCCAACTGGAACCTAGCTGGGAGTAAAGGGAGCTGAAGATGGTGGGGTGGGGGAAAGTAAGACGACTAAAAGTGCAGTCAAAAAGAAAGTTCTTAAGTTGATCTTTAAAGAAGGATAAGCATAATCAAGCTTCACGCCCCGCCGCGCCCCCCGGCCCCCCCGCATGCTGGCTCTCCAACCTGATCTCCCTACAGTGTATATGTGTATGTGCTGCTTCTGCTCAACTGGCACCAGCCTCCTCCTTTTTCCCCAGATCCTCCACCCCACCATTGGTGGCCGTGCTTCAGTCACTACGTCCAGAAGCTGTGGAACTCTCTCCCTTTCCCACCTCCTCATTTTCAGATCGCGATTGAAGATCTTCCTCTTCATCTGTGCTTATGGTCACCGTCCCCCCCCCTCCCGGCTAGGCCTCGGGCTCCGCCACTGTTAAGCGTTCCGAGACGGTGTCCGGTGTGAAGGACGCTATAGAAATGAAAATTGTTTTTAAGCTTATTGTATTTGCGAACTTTTTAAAAATTGTTCACACTACAAATAGAGTATAAATGCAGAATTCTTTTAGAGCTTTACTTTGCTTGGTAACGCTAATCTTGTTCGCCACAGGTCGACATTTTCCAAAACGCCCGCGCCACAAAATTGTGGTGGAAGCTCGATTCGATGGAGAATTGTTGGCCACAGATCCAGTGGACCACAAGGACCAGCCTGAGTTTGTTACTGAACTGGGCTGGGAGATTGACAGAAAATCACTCTATCAGCACAGGTATGATATTAGTCAACCTTCTGACAATGGAGGTATTGCTACCAAATATTTGCCAATTAAACACTTGTACTGATTCGTATTTTCTGATGACATTTCACTTTTACAGGTTTAAAAATCATAAACTACAAGAACTTAGATTCCAGTCCTGTAGTCACTCCCACATGCATTTTTTTGCCACAATATATGCATACTGTGAAGCTAATGGGGTAGTTTTATTTCGTTCTGTGGTGCAATACTACGCATTAATCATGTGGTAGTGTCCTTTGTGCTCTATTAAAAACAAACCATCCAGTGGCCAAACCGTCCATCCTGTCAGGCATTGTGTTCAAAGTCCTGCAAATTTTGTGTTTAGGAGTCCTGTAGCTCAGTGGTTAGAGGACTCGCCTCGCAAGCGAGAGACCTGGGTTTGATTCCGGCAGGGTGAAACCTTGGGTAAGTTTCTTTACTCCACACGCCTGATAATAATCCTTAAGAAAAAAACAAAAATTGATCACTTCAGTCCATGACTGTTTGACTGCCGTGTTTCACCCACAAATATACAATCAATTCACTTTACAGTCTATTCTGTGAAGTGCTTTGAGACGTCTAGAAGACTTGAAAAAGTGCTATATGCAAGGATTATTTATTCTAACATAGTCAGCCATCCTACAGGGGCTTCATTTACATTCCTGGGACAGCTTCTTTGATCTAACCTGAGAACTGATCTGAAGTTCCCTAGCCCCCAAGAAACACAAAATCAGCATTGTTTTAAATCATTTTGTGAAAATCTTAGGATTTGCAAAACCTTTTTTGTTATAATGTAATAATAATAATCCTTGCATTTGATATAGTGCTTTCTCACGTCTTCGAGACGCCTCAAAACGCTTCATAGAATATACTGTAAAGTGAATTGACTGTATATTGTGGGTGAAACGTTGTTGCACAAAATGGAGGCTGGTACAGTGAAGTGAGTATGACTAGGTTTCAGAATTTGAAATAGGGAAAATATATTGCTTGAAAACTTAAATCTTCCTAAACCTGGGTGTGACTCAATTTATTGTTCAGCATTGAGACGCAAGCAATTGCAGGAAACTTTAAACTGAAAAGCAGCATGAGATCTCTTTATATTTTTAGTTGTTTAATCCATCTTTAAACTTGTGTTTAAACTATTACGTATTGCTAATCTCAAGATGTTTGTTTGTACTACAGGTTACAACGTACTCCTATCAAACTCCATTGTTATGCAATAGATTCTTTGTCCTCAGCAAAGGAGTCTGTGGGCTACATCATTTTGGATTTGAGATCTGTTCAGGAGACAAAGCAGGTGTGTGTTTATGTGCAATCTCGATATTTAACATTTAAAATTGAACCAATTTGTGAGGTACAGAATGAATTTGTGGAGCTCAATCTTACTTGCGGGCTAGAAGAAAGTAATATTTTACTGTTGCATGTCGGATTACGACCAGATTGGGCTCAGGTATGAACTTGTCCTCTCCAACCTTTGCGGCCATGATATTCTTAGTTTGAAGATTGATGAATCATCTTGGCCATTACATTCTCCAGCCCACAGTGCCACTTTGTGAACCAGTCTGCAGACATAAATAAGAGTGTGAGTGATGCAGCCCAAAGTTCATTGGGTTTATTTGAGTTTTTATTTGAAAAATATAGCCTGTTAACTACAATACTTGCATAAATTAAAAAACCCTCTTCTAATAATTAGATAACTTGCTTTTCTTTGTTTTTCTTTTTCTGCTGTCTTTGCTGGAAGAATGGCATTTTGTCACTTAGTTTTGCTTCCAGCAATATACTCAGCTGTTAATTGTGTAAAATGCAACTACGAATTGGAAATTACTTACAAAAGTAGAGTCCCTTTTGATGGGTTTAAAAGAGTTTGCTGATTATTACTCGATATACTATACTATATATTAAATATTTCTGTATGTCCGGCATGTTTTCACTAGACTCCCAAGTGGTATCCTTTGCTGAGCAGCAAGTACACAAAATGTAAACCCGAGGTCCAGATTGCTATTGTTTTAGAGACTGATGCTAAGCCACAGCCAGAAGTTTTCAAAGCTAGAAAAGCACCACCCAGAGATGATAAGAGTAAGTATTTAATTTTTTTTATTAATAATTATTTTTGATCTGAATTTTGTTCCCTCAGTTGCATTCACTTCATACATACATACTGCTGAAAGGCGAGTCAAACAGGATACTGATTTTCCAAAGGTTTGAGCATAGATATATTGTTGCTTAATTTAATATGTTACTTTTGTTTCCAATTCTACATTGCATAGTTTCAAGCACAGGAAAATGTTGAATTGCTTGTAAATGAATAAATGAAGAACATTATAATTTTTATGACCCAAATGACACTGAATGCAGAATGCGTGTACATTTCATGAAGAGTTATTGTAGTGCACCAAACCCTTGGAGTGTGCTGAAGGCCACAAAGGAATTTTGTTTCTGTGGGTCTCAGGAGCATTTTATTTTCCTGACACTCATTGTGTGGACTCGAGTACATTCGTTGTTGATGAATAATGTGAACATTGTTGTTTTGGCAACAAAAAATATGCCCTAAAAAGGTATAGCTGGAGACAACTATGCAAAGCATCTGTGTCACAAACTTGTGGAGTCCTGTAGCGTAATGGCTTGAGCACTCTCCTCACAAGCGAGAGGACCTTGGTTCGATACCCGGGCAGGGCAAAACACTGGGCAAGTTTTTACTCCACACGTTTCTGTTTACCTAGCAGTAAATAGGAACCCAGTTGTTAGTTGATTGGCGAATTGCTTTTCTGGAGGTAATAATCCCTTTTTTAAAAAAAGGGATCACTCAATCTACGACTGTTTGTGGGGACACAGTGCTGTGTGCAATTGGTTGCCGCATATTGCCCACAAATATACAGTCAATATATTATATTATATTATTATATAGCTCTTATACATAAGTTTGGCAATACAATACTGGAGTACTTTCAGGCAAATCAGAATTTTACCATAGGCTAATAGTCTATCAACCATTTTGTTTTAGTCTAACGTGAGGTTCAGCAACCCAATGATTAACTGCATTGAACTTCTTAACATTAACTTAAGATTTACTAATGACTACATCATAACAATTTCAGGGTAATTTGCTGAGGATTTGAAGAGGAACAGTGTAAAATGGTATAGAGAAAACAAAGAATTAGGATCAGATTATATAGCTCTAGTGGAGGGGCCAACAGGAGCATAGACTAGATGGCTGAATAGCTTCATTTTTTTACTGTATTTTATGAGCAATTAGAAAGCAAGAACTTGTGTTTTCATAGTGGGTCATCATATCAAAGATTCAAGTGTTTTACATTCATTTCTGCTAATTGGGCGGCCATTATTGTAGGAGTTAGTTTTGGTTTGAGTACTAATCCCCACAGGGAAAAGGTGGTGTGGCTGATTTGGATTGATACTGAATGTTTGGATAATTTTTAAGACTCATTTTTTTGTTCCTGTCACTTTTCTGGAGAACAGAAAGATGACTCTCGGATGTTGTTGGTAGACTTTAATCCTATAATCCTTTCATTTTTATAACACCTTTCATGTTGCGAGGATGCCCCAAAGTGCTTCACAGGATATTTTGTAAAGTGGAATATGTTTTGTGGGTGATATGACAACCAAGTTGCATGCAGAAAAATCCCCACAAGGCATTCAGTGAATGACCAATTTTATTTGGGGAATTATTGGCCCAGGACACCAGAGGAAACAAAAATCCCTTCTCTTTTTCAATAGTGCCACAGGATCTTTAACGCCCACCTGAAAGGGCAGTTTAATGTCTCATCTGAATGCAACTCCGACAATGCAGCAAACCCCCAGCACTATAATAATAATAATAATCCTTGCATTTGATATAGTGCTTTTCAAAGGGCTTCACAGAATATACTGTAAAATGAATTGACTGTATATTTTGTGGGCGAAACGCTGTAACCAACTGCGCATAGCAGTGCACAATTGGCTGTATACAATGTTGACTATATTGGAAGGTCAACTTAGATATGAGTTCCAAGCTATGACGTGGACCTTGAATCCATGACTTTCTGACACAAGAGGCAAGAGTGAGCACTGAGCTCGTCTGATTCACTTTGGCACTGAATGTATCCTGCCTGGCTGTGAACTGATTTGTTGGGTGGGTGACCAATATTATGGTGAAGTCTTAATGGTTGTTGATTTGGTGGCCTTCCAGTTGAACATCAAGCATTGTTTTTACACCCATGCCCAGTTTTCTCTATCTGCCTGCGGTAATTGTTACTCCACCAAATTATTGCTTTCATCTTAACCTGCCCCAGTTTATCTAAGTGATCTTAGAGCCAACTTTATTATATTTCTTAGATTTATACTAACTTTTATTGGAGCTATCTTTAAACTAAATGGGGGAAACTTTTTGAGTTTGTTCTCCTTTGCCCCCCCCCCACCCATCTTATTTCAATATACCTTTCAATGCATGCCCAGTGCCCTCTGGAGCTATATCCAAGTAACCATTGGTTGTGTGTGAATTGAGATAGTCAGTATTACCCTGGATTACTGTGGACCTGTCTGGTTCAGGAACTGGACTACTTGAGACCACCACAGAGGGTTGGCTCAATTCTGGCATTATGTTGCCAAACATGTCACCTTAGAGCCAGTTCACCTCCAAAGAGACCTCACTTACCCCCAGAAGTAAAGTCACCAATTGATCATTTGGTATCCGCTGCTGTATTGGCTAAGATCAGCTAGCACAGCATGAAGGGGAGATCAAACCTGGACCTCTGCAATTTGTATTGCAGTTGCTTTACCAACTGAGCTGTCAGAGAAGCCTGAATCATTTAAAACTACATGTGCTCTGTTTTAAAAGAACGTAGTGTTTTTAAAAATAACCTTTTTGACATCTGGTCAGATAATTTTTGGCTTGCACGTACAACCAATGTATGATTTTTGTCAGCTGCTTGAATTATCCCAAATGTGTTCAGACCTGTCTCTGTCTTATTTTTCATTTATCTTCTACTTCCTTTCCATCTCCTGCATGTTTCACTGAAAAAAGCTTATGTTAGCACTGCTGTCAAACTTGGTAAAGTCCAACCATCCTGGAGTAGGGGAGGTGAGTTTGGTTTGTCAGTGGCTTCTAATTACAATTTCAAATGTATTTTTCTTGCATCTCTGTGTATCTAGCATTTTTGCTTTCAGCCACTATGCTCTGAAACTGCCTGCTTCCTTTGCTTTGCCCCCTCCTCGTCCGTCTTCAGATCACACCTTAAGACCTTCCACTTTGACCTTGCCTCCTCATTCCTTGGCTCATCATCAAGTTCAGCTGCTGTTAAGCGCTTAGACAATGCCCTGTGTGAAGGGTGCTGTTTAAATGCAAGTTGTTGTTATTGTCAAGGAAGGTGGGAAACACTTTTATTTTGAAAGCTAGAAGAAGCATTTCATTATCCTAAATAGCCTGAAATATTTTAAGCAGAACATATATTTAAAATTACAGTTTGTTGCATGAAGACAGATTAGTCTTGGGGGTTGTCATCTGTCTAATTGTATTTGCTAACTGTTTCCTTTGTAGTAGTTTGTATTGATGTAGGTGTGTATGGGGGATGGATTATTTTGCTTTTGAGCCCCAGTGGAATGTCTAAGTGGTAAGATTAAAGTGTTCTGTAAATGGGACAAATTAGTTACTTTATTCTGGGCTGAGACCTCCTTATAAACTGACTAAATCTAAATAGCATAGACTATAAGATCAAATCCTAATTTGGGGTTTGAACCTACAATGTTCTGTGTGAATATGAATTGTATTGTTCCTGAACAGCTTGCTTGTGTGATGGTTCGATACCTGTGTCTTTTTTTGTGAAATTGCACAATTTTTTTTGATGTGATACATTCTAGGTTGTACTATAACCTTTTTTAAACGAAGTGAAGCAATGTAGCAGAACACAACCAATTATTGTGGTAGTTTAAGAAGTGCAGTGGTTGTTTCAAATGTGTATTTATTATTTTCAAGTACAAGGAGTAAAAACTTTCTGCCATACATACTACATATGACCAGTCTGTTTATATTAACTGTCTTATGGGCTGACTTACAATTTTTTTTCCTCTTTTTTAAAGAAACTCCACCCTTTCCTGATCTGAGCCACAAGAACCTCACACCAGTTCTGAACGAGGAAGAAAGCTATTATCAGATTGGACCTGTAGAACACTGCAGTGACTTCTTTGTGCTTTCTGTAACTATTGCATTTGCAACACAGTTAGAACAAGTGGGTGAAAATTTGATCCGAGTACAAGAATGCTAATATCAATGTTTTACTGCAGAAATTATAATGTTTTTTTCTTTGAATATAAGTTGCTGATTTAATCCTGTGTGGCTTCAGATGTGTAGTTTACCGATCTTGGTAATAATACATGTAATTGTTATGATGCCAAAAATGTTTAAACTTCTCAAAGCAATTCACTGGTAATTGCTGTCGATTGTGTATTTGTGGGCAAACCGGCAGTCATTTTGCACAGCAAGGTCCCAAAACAAAAAATGTATGGCCATTATATCTGGAGGAACATTATCTAGGACACTAAAAGAAACTCTCCTTATCTTTGCAAATAATGTTGTGGGATCTTTAACATCTTTAATTTGAACAGGCATGTGGGCTTTTGGTTTAATGTCTCTTCTGATGAATGACTTCTCCGACAATATAGTGTTCTTCCAGTGCTATATTAGTGAGTCAACCTTGACTACGAGCTCCAGTCCTAACAAGGAGCTTGAACACAAAGTTCTGACTCAGAGGCAAGTGTATTACGAAGAGCCAGGCTGTGTCCCCAGTTTTCTGATTTCTCAGGCAGAATCTGGATTTATTTGAGAAAATTTGAGAATGAACCTGCATTCCACATCTCTTAACAATTGACAATTAATCTCATTGAAATTATTTCACTCTTTCTGGTTGTGAAGTTATAATAGGGGGAAATGTTTGACAATGTTTAGCTATACTGATCTATTCTGAATAGAGGTTCTGTAATGTTCATCTTTATGTCAACATGAATCGTAATGTATTAAACTTAGTTTAAATTAGGGGGATCCATAAATATACTTCAAGCACACATACATAACACTTGGATGGATTGATTTTTGATCCAAGACTACTTTATATCCCTTTTCTGAGGATGGATCAGAGTGGGTGTGTAAACCGCACGTAAATTGAGGCAGTTCCTTTATCAGTGGGAAATACCCACAGCTGGTTTGGTAATGGGAGTGAGCAGGGAATAGATTAAATGGCTCATATAGGACAAAATACCAGCACAAACTTGATGTGTTTCTGTGCTGTAACATTCTATGATTCAATTTGTATATCAGTAATTGGATCTTGGATTTGTGTTTTATATTATGGAGATGAATTCTGGATGATTGCCCACTGGTACAGAATGTTCATTCATGCATGTGAAAAAACATTGGATCCGTTTTGACTTTCATGTTTGGAATATCAACAAATCTGTTTGAAATAATTACAAACAAATCTATTAGTTAATGCAGTAATGTTGGAGTCTTGTAGCTTATTGGTCAGAGCACTAACAAATAGAGCACTTTCAAACTTGCAAGCAAGAGGATCTGGGTTCAATTCCTGGGCAGGACGAAACCTAAGGCAAATTTCCTTACTCCAAACATGTCTCTGTTTACTTAGCAGTAAGGAGGAAGCAAGTTGTTAGTCGATTAGCAGACTGATTTCCGGGTGTAATAATCCCTTCAAAAAACAATAATAATTTGTTCACTCAAACCACAACTATTTGTGGGACACTGCTGTGTACAGTTGGCTACCACATTTTGCCCAAACAATATACAGTCAATTCACTTCACAATATATTCTGTGAAGCGCTTTGAGATGTCTCAATGATGTGATAAGGCATTGTGTCAAATGCAGTATTATGATGTTTGAACCATCAGCACTAGCCTTGAAGGAATTAGTACAGTTTTACCTTTCTTGTTCTTTCAGTTAATTTCTAGTACAATTAAACTTCCAGAAGAGAGGCCTGAGTTTTTCTTCTACTACACATTGCTGGGAAATGATGTCACCAATGATCCTTTCACTGACTTGATCAACCCAAACTTTGCACCTGAACGTGCTTCTGTGAGGATTCGCAGCAGTTGGCAAATTCTCCAGCTATTCCTGGCTTCACAACCAAGCTTTCAGGTAAATATGATACTGTACTTTAGTACACAGGTAATCATTTGTGTGCAATTCTTACTTCCAAAGAAACAAAATCTGTTCACTTATTCAGCCAACCTTGTAAATGCTCATTACTTGCTTGAGTAAAATTCCACCAGCATCCACTGTGAAGCATTAAGTAAATTACTTTGCATTTGACCTTGTTCTTATTGTGGTAAATTAGTTGAGTTTTGTTAAATTGAGTATGGCATGCTCTCCTTATTCCTTCACCAGGAGACAAAAAAGCTATCAAACCCCATTCTTTCTTGTAATCCTGTCTAGGGTATTTAAGGCATTAGATGCAAAGTATTATAAGTGGAGAATCAATTATTAATAAATTGGAGCATATTCAGTTTAATTGTTTAGGAAGATCTGCTGAAGTGTTCAAAATGTAATGGAGGGCTCCTTTTGATGGAGTCGCTGTATTTGCCATTTAACTGGTCAACAGAATTTCAATGAAAACCTTTGTTGAATTTGAAGGCCATAACTGGTCAACCTCCGAAAGTTTTAATTGAGTACTGTTGAACTTGCCTGAAAAAATATTGTGGCGATTTTAGATTGTAACTTTGAAAGTACTTTTGTTTTCCTTTAAGATTCATTTATGCTGCGGAGACCGGTCACTGGGCAGCACAGAGATTTCTTTTGCAGGATTATTTAAAGGAGGTCAAGGAATCGATCAGCGCCCAGCAGCAATTGAAGGAGCATTTACTTTGGTGCCAACCAACAAAGTAAAACAAAAGCTGCCACCAGTGCTTCCAGTGCCGCTTGAATTGTCACCCACTGTGGGAGTATCTGTGACTTGTAGAAAAGAAGGAATGAATTCTCAGGTATTTGTTATCATGCGTTTTAATTTATTTTCTTCTGATGTTAAAATATTTTCTCCTTTGTCTACTTGCCAGGTCTTCTTTACTGCAAGTATGTGGTGACTGCCGTGAGATCTGATTACATCATTAAAGTCTGGAAAAATATGGTTGTACTACCAACCATAAAATACTATATTAAATGACCTGAGGCTTTGTGCCAGTTAGCTTTCTGTTATGGTCTTCTGCGATCATGTGTTGCCTGATTTCTTAAATTAATAATGGCTTCAGAATGCACCGTGATGCTACTGAGATCATTGTGGAAGGGAGACCTGAGTTGTGAGATCTTGGGGTAGATATCTAATTATTATTGCCTCCAAAGCAAATAAGAAAAGTATTCCATTTTTACTGCTGGAAGTGAATTAAAATATGATCTTTTAAGCTTCCGAAATGAATTGTTGAGTAAAACATTATCGAGTAGATCAGTACAATACAATTTACATTTATATAGCGTCTTCATGTTAGAATAGCTCAAAGTGCTTAGCACTAGTGGCTGGGCACCTGAGCTGGCGGTGGAAGCCGAAGGGGATAGGGAATAAAAAGAAAACCCAAAACGAGGTAAAAATATGTCTTGAGACTGACTCAATTGTCAAGTTTCTCTTCAGTTAGTCTCCCCTTTTGTATTGTTTGATTCAGGAAGGGAAGATTTACATTGATAAGTTAGTGGATGGGAATGAGGATATTGATCCAATTCTGTTACTGTTTAGATTTTTTAAAAAAAACTGTTTTTGGGCTTCTGAATATCAATGAAAAGTATAAACCAGAGGGACAATGGAATGAACGTGAATGTCATATGACATGTTGATTAAAAGTAGTCCAGGATGTAACTTATGAGATACAAGTAGGAATAATTTAAACAGAAAAGCTGTTGCATTGCTTGTAAGTATGTTGAGAGTTTATAAAATTAACCACAATTTAAAGCTTCTCAGCGAAACTATGAATGTGGAGAGGGCATCAAACAGCTTCAGTCACCTAATTAGGAAAGTTTAAATGTAGATGGATGAGTTAGTTCGGTGAGTTTTTCAGGCTTTTAATTTTTAAAAAGTTATTGCATGTCATAGTTTTATTGAAGTATGTCATTGCTGTTTGAAATTGCTTTTCCTAGCCCTGACAAGACCTTTTTCTCTTCTCCAATTTTGCAGCTGGCTAGTCCAGTTAAACCTCAACCAGAGCAAAAGTCTCCAGTGAAGCAGAGAATTGTTTCTCCTCAAACTGGTAAGCCCTCGCTTCCTGAACAAAGGCCCAGGAGTGCAACTTCTCAACGTAGTGATTCTCCTCCCAGTAAAGATCAGGGAACCGAAAATGAAGCAGATAGTTTGCAAGATGACGTGGACAAAAATGGGGCAAAGATTGGTAAGTGGCATGTAGTTTAAAAATGCACATTATTGTAGACAACCATTTTCAGCAGCTTGTCAAATGGGCGAGCTGATCGTAAGGCAGTATGTTTGCTTTCAGCTATGATGGCAGGTTCTGGCGACAATGTTTACAAGCGACTGCTTGAAAACCAAGCTAGATCAAAGTCTCAAACCAAAACACATGTTAAACCACCCCAAGGTAAGGTCCAATTCTATCTATTTGGTCTTTTTAGGATGGCTTGAAAGAACTTGTTAATAAAATGCTGTGATGTATTAAACCCTTTCAAGGTCTAAAATATCATTTGCATAACATTTTTTCAGGCTGGTTCCTCATTATGCACAATTTTGCTTTAGATTATTGATAAACTTGTATTTAATGTTGAATATTCTGTATGCAAATGTAATTTCAGTCTGCGCCAGCAATATCTCCCAAACAACAATGAGGTGATGCTTTGAATGTAAAAATGCTCAAATTAAAAAAAGTGATTTTTAAGTGCCTTTTGTTTAACATTCAGTGATATTGTTTGTGGAACAGTATCAATTGGCAATTGGCTGTTGTGAAGCTCTTTGAATGACATAAGGCGCTATATCAAATGCAATGATTGTTGTTATTATTACCAGCTACTGCAACAACATCACAGTTAGCCTCTGATTCTTCTTCCGCACCAAAGATCTCCATTCCAGCTTCTGCCCACCATTACTGTTTTGCCCTTGATCTGAGGAGCATTGGACAGCTGGATGTAGGTTTTCCTGTCAACTGTATAGTAAGGTTAGTCTTTTGTTATTCTTTGGGTTTCACATTCTGCATTTTTTTATTAGCCATAAGAAAATAATTACATCTTAAATGTTCTCCTTAATACTACTCGAACCACAGAAATGTACAGCCACAGAAGAATGCCCACCGAGTCTGTGCCGGTCGGTGAAAGCAATCCTTTTAGTCCCATTAACCTGCCCTTTCTCTATACCCACCCACATGCACACTGGGCATGCTTCTCTGGGTGTCTTGCATTAATACCCATGTAACTCACTGGCATTAATATCCATGTTACATGCCCTCATCCATGTGGTATGTACCTTCTTCCATATCGTTCTAATTTGCATTCACTGATTCTATTCAATTTAACTGATGAATAGACCCTCCACAAGGCCCTCCACGGCCTTGCCCCTTCCAACATCTGTGGCCGTCTGACCCCGTATCAACCTGTTCACGCCCTCCGCTTAGCAGGCTCAGGCCTGTTCCATGAACCCCGCCCGGCTCGCCCCACCATCGGAGGTCAGGCCTTCAGCGTTTCTGCCCCACCCTTTGGAACTCCATCCCACATTCCCATTGCCTCGCTCCCTCCCTTGCTTCCTTCAAGGCCCGTCTGAAGAATCTCCTCTTCGACCATGCCTTCAGCCACCCTCCTATCCTCCCTGCCCTCCAGCCAACCTGATCTCAACCCCAGCTCGGGTCCAAATCTCTGACTGTCCAGTGCTTTGGGACGTCCTCCTGACATGAAAGCGCTATAAAAATGTCATTTTGTATTGTATTGATTAATGATATTTTTTAAAAATTGATGAGCCTGTTCACCCCCGATAACTGACTTAGACCAAAACGTTCCAATTTGGGATCTTGTCCCCACTGATAATCCCCAATCCCCCCCCAAACTTGTCTTGGCCCCAAACTATCAAAAGATTTTTTGAATTCAAAATATATTTTTGTTCATATATACGTTTGTCTCACAGTAAAAAAAATAGTTCAGAAAAGAAGACACAACGTTATCACCAGTCCACACTCTGATAAGGCGCGCTTGACGCTTTTGGATGGCGTCCCAATGTGCTCACAATTACTCGCCCGGAAACCACACAAACCCATACACAAACATTATATACCTCGCCAGTCCCACCCAAATCACAGCGGCATCCCTGCTGGGGTTCTGTTCCCTCTTTCTACAGGGAGCAGTTACATGGGTGGGTTGATCCCGGCTCTGTCGTCAATTTACCCAAATTGTCAAAGGATTTTTTTAAAATATATAATATTTGGTACAACAGAGATCCAAAAAACAACGTACAACATCCTCCGTTACATTTTTTTTCTTTCTCCCGATACAAAAACATTCCGTTCTTTAGCTTACATTCCTTCACCACGCACAGATTGTGCACATTTTTTGGGGACATTCCCTTTAAAATAGTTGGGAGTCGCCTCTGTGTGCACCACATCCATATGTCCGGCCGCAATACACCCTGATAAGGCGCACTTGCTGCTTCCAGAAGGCGCCCCGATGTGCACCATACGCCCATATGTTTACAGTACATACATTTTCGGGATGCTCTTTATTTACATCTCGAGCGCCTTCTGTACATTTATATGGTTACCCTCACGTTTATTTTAATCATAGTTTTGGGTGCATAATGTTTGTGTATAGGTTTGTGTTTGCGTGGTTTCAGGGTGTGCCGTCCGAAAGCGTCAAGTGTGCCTTATCAGGGTGTGCAATGGCGATGACTTTGTGTCTTCTTTTCTGTAGCTGGTTTGATACTGTCCGAGACAAACGCAAAGCCACTTGCATCTGTATCCATGTAATATGTACTTCCTCACATCACTATCTATGCACAATACAGCATACGTATATTCATATTACAAGATTCATGCATTGGGACTCTCCTTTTAAACAAAATAACATTCACACGCACACACCGTTATTTATTTAAATTTCACCTGTTCCTGTTTCTACTTGTGTAACGTGCGCTTGCTTGTGTCCCCAGCTGTGTAACGTGCACTCACTCAGGTCGCCGGCTCAATTCCTCATTACAAATCTGCCTACCTTAATACTACCCTCCTGACATGAAACGTATAAATGTAAATTGTATTTACACCATCACTTTGTTTGGTCAGATACAGTGAATGTTGCATTCTCAGTTACGTCACTAGCTGTGTAACACATTCTTGCTCATGAGGAATTGTGTCCAAACAAATCTAAAATATTATTTAATAACACTTTTGTATTCAAAATATATTTAGATTCTAATGTACTTTATATTTTTCATCAGGTATTCCTATCCATTCTTTGGTACTGCAGCACCAATAATGACGAATCCTCCAATGGAAGTGAGAAAAAACATGGAAGTTGTCTTTCCCCAATCGTATTGTGCATTTGATTTTGCAACTTTACCTCATCAATTACAGGATACTTTTTTAAGGTACCATTGTTCACTGTTTACTGCATAGTATATTTGTTGATGCTTTATTTGAAAACTTGGAGGATGAATGGGCAAAAAAAAACTTTGGAAGACCGTAGATGGCACGCTGTTGGAATGTGATTTGGGTTGAAAGTTTCTTCTCAAAATGTCACTCTTCACAGTGAAGACCTAGGTATGATTGGCCTCTCCTGCCATTAGCCTACCCTGCCATTAATATTTACAATGATTTTTTTTTGGTTATACCTGAAGAAGAAAAATCGTCCTTCTAATGCAGTGTATTTGTATATTTGAAGAAACAATTATAGGTATCAGTTTGCTTCAGTTTCTTTTACTTTCACTACTGAATCAAAAATTTGTAAGTTTGAACCCCACAATAAGATTCTACCTCATAATTTCTGTCATCACCCATATTGGTGTCCCAGTGTTTGGAAAAGATATTAAAACCAAGACCCACTTTAGCCTGTACTTTAGAAGATCCAATTACAGCATTTCAAACAGCAAAATATGCCAAATAACACATCCAGATTAATTAATGTTATTGCCTAAAAACAATAAATACTTTGAAATAACTCCCTGTGTGAAGAGTTTAGAGATATGTTGATGTTAAGGTATCAAGAGAAACTTCACTTTAAATGAGAAAAAAAAACAATGCAATTGGGCATTATTCCAATGATTTATTATTTTTCTTCTCTAGGTTACCTTTGTTGGTTGAGGTGTGGCACAAAGACAAAATGACAAAAGATATGCTGTTAGGAGTGGCAAGGTTGCAGCTGTCAAATGTTCTGACCTCCGATAAATCTCGGTTTTTGGGCTCTTCAGATGAACAGTGTTGGCGGCAAACCTTTAGTGACAGGATTCCAGTTGTAGGAGCTCAAGGGTAAGTATGAAGAGCAGCACTACTACATTCTTAAATGTAACTCTTTGTTTATTTTCTGCAACAGCAGCTAAGTTGTGCTAGCGCAATGTTCTACAAAAAGCAATGAGATGAGTTGTGAATTAATCTGAATTTTTGTGTTGAATTTGGTTATTTGATTGAGGGAGAATATAAGCCCAAGTTAATTAGAAGAATCACTCTTCTTTTGGGGTTCCTTAATGTCTACCTGAATCAAAAGGTATGAGACCCAAATTAATGAATCAAGTTGAGAAAAATAAATAAATTGCACCTATATTTAAAAAGTTAGTGTGGTGAATATTATGTAGATAAACACAGTAGCCAATCTGTGCTCCAGCAACTTCTCATAACTACAAATACATTTCCCTCTAATCTGGACATCTGTTGTCAGAATGAAGCAATATTCATAGAACCAAAGAGGTTTAATGATAATAGTTAAGAACAGAAGTCCCTGGGAACATGCAGCAGGTCAGGCAGCATCTATGGAGAAAGGAAAGTGAGTCAATGTTTGGGGTCCACGACCCTTCGTCAGAACTGGGGCATGTTGGGAGGGAGAGGCTTTTAAATGAGTTAACATTTCAGATCGATGACCTTTTGAAATGTTAACTCATTTTCCTCTCTCCATAGATGCTACTTGGCTGCTGCTACTCTTGCAACCAAGGGATCCAATATGGAATGTAGATTGACGCACAGACATACATTGTTCATCTTTATCTATACCCATCTGGGAGGACTCTTGTGGGAGGATTCCTTTTAGGAGCACTTAGTGCGGGGACTCGGCACTTTAAAAATATAATTTTGTTGTTGTTGCCGTGGCTTAGCTTCGTCTGTGTTCTTTATTTTGGTGGAGTGTGCACCACCCATGGTTGCACACTCCACCTTACTAAGCCAGTCCGGAACCTTGTCATCTTGTTTGACCCTCAACTATCCTTTCTACCCCACATCCATGCCATGACCCACTCTGCCTTTCCCCCACCTCCGCAACATCGCCCGGCTCCACCACTGTCTTACACCACAGGACGCTGAGACTCTCATACACGCTTTCATTACATCAAGGCTCGACTACGCAAACTCCCTGCTTGTCGACCTCCCCAACTCGACCCTCCGTAGTTCAATTTCCTGGTCCTCACCTTCAAAGCCCTCCATGGCCTTGCTCTTCCCTACCAACCTGCCTGCTCCCTCCGCTCAGCGAGCTCCACCCTACTTGTAATAATATAATAGAAGATTTCCAGCATCTGCAGTATTTTGCGTTTGATGATAATAGTTATATTTCTAGCAGTAGAGCAACTAAATCTAATATTAAGTGTGGAATGTATTTATTTAACATGTTGACCAGTCCCAGGTGGAACTACTTGATTTGGTCAAAGCTGTACATTCAGCCACATTATTGTCTAATGTTAAGAGCTGGTTCAATTGCTGGCGCTGTTAACTCTGAGTCAGATGGTTATGAGTTTGAGTCCCCCGTCACAACATGAGCTCACAGTCTAGGTTGATACTGCAGTGTAGTGCTGGGGGAATGCAGCCTTATTAAAGGCATTGTCCTTTGGATGAATCGTTAAACCAAGGTCACATCTGTGTAACTTTTTAACTGGTTGCACACCAAGCAATCGTATTTTTGTTTACTTTTGTCTGTTTGCTTTTTGCATACTATCCCGTTTCACTGTAATGTCTGATTTAATTTAAAATCCTTACACTAAAGTTGCATTGTACTGAAATTAAAGCTATAAAGAGGGATTGCTCAATACTTCAGTATCACATTTAATATAATGTTGTATTCAATAGAATTACACTAGAGGGCAGTAGTTGCACAGCTTTCCACAGAAGTACAGATATTCTGTTTGTGAATCTACAGTGAACAGGTGATTATCAGCACCGATACCTAGCTACCCCGTGTCTAACTACAAAGGAGGTCTCAGCGATTAAATTGACATTCAATTGATTAGCGTGTAGATAAACAACGGCCTTATCCCTCTGCAACGTCCCTAAGCATTCCAAGACACTGCCCGTTTGAAGGGCGCTCTATAAATGCAAGTTGTTGCTGGTGTCCTACTGTAGATATAGCTACTGCTTTATTAACTGGAGGATTAAACCTGCTTAAAAGCATATGATAATATACAATATTTAGGATTTTTTTTAGTGGGAAAGTATTTAAGCAGGTTAGCTTGTAGCTATGAGGGTGCTGCTGTTGGGTCATGACCCAACTGTGCAGCGCCTTGGGACGTCCTCCTGACGTGAAAGGCGCTTTATAAATGGAATCTTGTTGTTGTTGGCCTTAGTACCTCCAGACAAGAGAAACAAGATCCACACTCCTGGAGGCGATAATTGGTTAAATAGCTGGCCCATGGTCACTCTCCAAATATATACATGTATGAAGAATGAAACAAAGGTTAATGAACCAGAGAGCTCTGCCATTCGGGGAACCTAACCCACCCTGTCTGCACCACAGAAGAGATTTTGGGTAGGAAGTTATGGGGGAAACCAGAGAAGCTCACATTTTCTTTTAAACAAAAAAGTTGTTTGCAAACATATTGTTATTTTTCAGCAAAAGCATCTGGTACATTGACTTTTTGAAAGAAATTGTGCTAAACGTACAAATAAATATGCATACTTATATAAATAAGTGTGGAATTATATAACTTCTAGTGCCTTGGGATGTCCTCCCGACGTGAAAGGCGCTGTACAAATAAAATTTTTGTTCATTTGTTTTAAGATTTTGGTACCTTGAAATGGCCAACTTGTTCAGGTAGTCTTTCCTAAGTTAACAAAGCTCTTGTTCAGAACCACACATGTTATTTTTCCTGATTGGATCCGGAGCAATTATTACTGTTTGTGAAATTATCTCTAATAATTGATTTCTAAAATAAATTATGCTTCAATAGGTCGAATAATAAAATTGCTGAACTCTATTACTTGATGACCTTGGAAGATTATGGCCTTGTGAAAACTCAACAGGTCATTGTGTCTGACTCTTCTCAGGTAGGCACTTATGTTATTACAAAACTCCTGGTGTATGTTTTGATGTTGGTAGGAAATGATTGGCACATTGTAGTTCTGATCTGCTTCAATACTGGAGTTCAATGCAACTACAGGTATCAACAGCCTGAATCTGTTCAAGTTAAGCTAACTTTGTATGATATACTTTACATGAAGTGGAATTTAAATCTGGGCAGATCAGTTGGTTGTGCAAGTACATTCCCATCTGCACCAAACCTTGGGGGTAAACTTCAAATTGATGCAGTACAATATCATTTATATTTGTGTAGTGCTTTCTGTCAGCAGGGATATCTCAAAGCACTTCACAATTCTGGATGGGCACCTGAGCTGGGGGTGAGAGCCAAGGGGGATTAGGGAGAGGAAAGATAACCGAAAGCATGGTCAAAGAGATGTTTTGAGACACGCCTAATCTGAGCATACAAAACTGCTTTGCCAAGCCTTTACCAATAAATGGGTTAAAAATCTCTAAACATACAATATATTTCATTGAAGAAAAAAATGTAAAATATTATAAAATGGTGATTAGTGCTTAAACTTGCCTTGTCTCTCACCAGGCTTGTCTCCTTGGTTAGTGGTCTTAAAATACTTTAGTCATGAGCCTTGAACAAAATTCCACAAAAGGCAAATTCAGAAGGGATGGCTGAAATATATGCAAGGAATGGAGAGGAATAAAGAATAAAGGCATATTGCATTTTCTCTAAAAATGGAAAATAAAAAGTTTCTCTCTTAAAAAGAAGCCAAATGCAAAATAAAAACGCCCCAGCTGAATAAACATTCAGCTGATGAAACATACCTACAAATTTAGGTCCCTCTAAGGAATAATTAGGTGACTAAGAATTCAGTGATTAGGGCAAAAAACAATTCACACTTAACCAGTGACTGGACTCCTGTGTGGGGTGTTGATATAAAATGTGTTTCTATCTTCAGAGCTAAGTAAGAAAGATTACGGCAAAAAAGCCTTTCCTATAACAGATTGCCCACCACTGTCATTGCCACTTGTCATGACTCCATCATAGAGTTTTTCCACAAGTTCAAGTAGGGTTCAGGAAGAGGTTCCAATGATTTAAGAAGCTGACACAATCCAGAGAGGCTGAGGGAATTTCCAGCAGGACTCGATAGTGCTGTGGGTCAGAACTCTTTCCTTTTACCTGTGGGACCAGGGTTTGAATCGACTCCAGACAGATATGATGGATTGAAATGAAAAATTATATTGTATAGGACCTTAAGTGAAATAATTAGATGTGTTAATCTTCTATGTTGGAAGAACATAAAACTGCTCGTCATTGAGAATTAATTGACTAGAATTATTTATTGAGTATGACTGTCGGGCATGCAAAGAGAAGTTTTCTAATTGATATTATACTGCACATGCTTTTCTGAACCTTTGAAGTTTTAGGAAAGTACAGTAAACTTTTCTCTAGATCTAACTTAACCCATCCTGTTCTCATACTTGATACCAACTGTGTGCAAAAGAAAGCAAATTAAATTACTAATTTTCAAAATTAATTCTACAGAAATTATTGCTTTTTTTTACCCTTCCCAACAGCGATTTTGTTAATAAAGAATTGTTTTTAAACTCACAACATTCTAGCAGTTTCGGTAAGTATGCTTGATTGCTTGAGAAATGTGTAGAAGCTTAATGTGAGTATTGCTTGGAGCAGATGTGTTACCAATGTAGTTAGTTTGTGAACACTGAATGCCAATATTTACTTTTAGAGTTTAGATGTGGGACACCAACAGCAGCCGAATTTGTCAAACAAATGTGCTCGGTCTTCAGAACCAGCTCCTGTGACCACACCACGTGAAACAATAGAATATAAAGCTGCACTAGAGCTGGAAAAGTGGAAGGAATTACAAGAGGATTTGTTTGAGAACCAGGTACATCTTATTGTTTTTGGCAGAAATGAAAGCTCCAACGCAATACATCATCACTGTACTAGTTGCAATTAATATGCATGTGTGTGGGGGGTGGGGTGAGGGGGGAACAGATAAAAACTGAGAAATGAAATAAGCCCTGGATTGGATAATCTTTATATTTATATTGTTACATTTTCAATGGTAGAAAACATCCTGCTTGCCTCTACAACTGAGTTCCTGCTGCAAATTAACGCATTTTAAAAATAACACTTCCATCAGTATTTGAAGTATGTTTATAGTCACAGGAAAATGTTTTGTGAAAAATGTATTGTATTTTAAGTTTGCATGATGGGATCACATTGAAAACTATTTGTAATTTTTTTGCACCCTAAAAGTGTTGTTTATTTTGAGAAGTACTATGATGCAGGAGGAAATGTTCTAGATTCTGAAAATATAAATTTAAATGGTGCTATTTGCATGCTAGTTTTGCTCAAATCCTCACTCACTTATCTGTAGCTTTAGTTTCCAAATTAACCTCTGTAGCTTGCAGTAAGTGGAGCTGGTACAGTTGTGTTTGAGGGGAACTGTTAGGGAGGTATCCTGAGCCAATAGTTAATGGGCAAGTGATGGAACGTACCTGTTTCATCAAAGTGGGATTAGCTATTTCTAGTTGATTTAAGAGTTGCACAAAATGCAAGTGTCTGCTTTTTATCTCCTTTCATTGGAATTAGAGAGCATTTGTAAGCTTGCTGTTTTTTAACCTGCTGTTTTTTATCTACTTAACGTTTGCTGATGAAATCAAAACCGACGTAATCAAAACCGATGCAGTGTGTCTCTTTTCATGGTGTATGTTTCAGTGTTCATTTTCTCTGCTTGTATCTTTCTTAGTTGAAGCAAAAAGAGCTGGCCCACATGCAGGCTCTTGCTGAGGAATGGAAGAGAAGAGATCGGGAGAGGGAAGTACTGGTGAAGAAAAAGGTAACGACGGAATGTATGTAGTGTCTTACACTCTGGGAGAATATCCCAAAGTGCTTTATATTGGTTTGGCACTCGGGTGGAGAGGGGAAAGTTGATCACAAGCTCAGACAAAAAGGTAGGTGTTGAGATGGAACCTTGAATGAGATGAGGGAGCGAGTCGGAGGAACTGTGGGAATGAATTTCAAAGAGCCAGAGAATTGGGTCTGATGGGCTGAACGTCCACCTGCTGATAGGGTGAATACGTACTTACATTGGAGCAGAGAAGCTTGAGGAGGAACTGATCGAGGTATTCAAAACTGAGAGGTTTTGATACTGTAAATAGAGTTATTTCTGTTGATAGAGTTATTTCTATTGTGGGGAAATAGTTATAACAAGAACAGTGTTATAAGAACAGAGAAAGACCAATTTAGGAAGGATGTTTTCACCCAGAGAGTTGTTGGCATGTGGAACTCCCTGCTGAGAGGGCAGAGGAGGCAGAGTCCATTGTAGCTTTCAAGAGGGAAGTGGATAGGCATATGAAAGAGAAGGGCTTGAAGGGGTATGGGGATAAGGCGGGCGGTTGGATTGAATTGATCTCCTTGCTCTGTGAGCTGGTGCTGACTAGATGGACCAAATGGCCTCTGTCACTTGCTGTAGATTTCTGTGTTTCTAAGTATTTTGAGGTTACTTTTTTAAGATTACATATGTTAACAGCAGTACCTGATCCCCTTACTACTAGCTGTCAGTGACTTTCACTGATTTCATTGTTGGTTACTCATTGTTGGTTACTAACATCCACAATGCATTAAGTGGATGCATTAAGTGTTCCTCCCTGAAATTCCTTCTGGTTGGTGTGATGATAAAATGATCAAACATGTAAAACAATTTAAAGAAATATGAGTTTCACTACATTGCTAATCATATATTTGACAGTTCCATTTAAAAAGCACATTTTTACTGCACTTGTGTTCCTGCCAGTAGCAGCAGATCAGGTTGTTAGATTTAAAATTGTGTATCATATATCAAGGTTACTAAAGTAAACCATAGTAAAATGTAATCTATAACAACATTATAGCAAGTGACATTGGAATTTCTTTCCCCTCGCTAAGTGCAGTTGCACTAGCTCTTCGGCAGACTTTGATCGCTTTTGTTATGAACTAGTACTTTTGGCACTGTAGCCTGTTTAATAATGTACATTTTTCAAATGTGCTTCCTCTGTTGAATTGCTTACTTACTGTTAAATACATTAATTCTTCTGTTAGTAATTTCATAAACTGTTTTCATAGGAGTGAAGATGTAGAATAACTAAATATAACTCCAATTCTCTGTAGTGCTCTAATTTGGGTTTATGCTTATTTCTTGGAAACTAAGACAAAATGGTACTTGTTTGTGCTGTCTTTAATGCTGATCAGAGAGATCAGGAAATCAGATTTTTTTTTGCTGTTAAAGGACCAATCTTGATGGTCATGGAAAGAATAACTCACAATGATGGACTGAGAAAGATCTAATTTTATTTTGGCCAAGCATGTTTCTGACGTACGCAGAAACACATCTCTGTGCTTAAGAACATATAATAGATTTATATGGTACCTTTCACTTTGGAGGACATCACAAACCTTGACACTGTAGGCTGGGCACCTGAGCTGGGGATGGAAGCTGATGGGGAGAGGAAAAAACGACCAAACTTGTAGTCAAAGAGGTACGCCTTGACATTGGTCTTGAATGAGGGGATGGAAGGAGTAAGTCGGATGGACTCTGGGGAAGAATGCCTAAAAGCCAACCCATCTATGGTGGGAGCCATGAAGCAGACTAGTGTTTGCCAAGCAAATGGAGTGGCTGGGTCAGTATGGATGAAGGAGGTTGCAGAGGTCGGAGCCAAGACCATAGAGGGAGTTGAAGGTGAGAATGAAGATATTAAACGTGATTCACTTGGGGATGGGGAGACAGTGTAGCCAAGCAAAGGTGGGAGTGATAGGCTCACAGAGCCTAGTGTGTGAGAGGGCAAAGGCTGCAGAGTTCTGGGTAGTCTGTAGCCTATGTTGGGTAGAACTTGGGAATCCAGTGAGTTGGGCATTACATTGTCAAGTCTGTAACCAATGCCAGAGAGGAAAGGTAGTGACAAAGGTGAGCATTGTTTCAGAGGTTAGGGAGAGCTGAGTGGGTAAGAGCGCAGATGTGGGGTTTGAAGGACAGTTTAAAACTCTTTAACAAGACACAGAGATTCTGCACCACCAAAACAAGATTCCATTTATAGAGCGCCTTTCACGTCAGGAGGACGTCCTAAGGCACTGTACAGTTGGGTCAGGACCCGAGCAGGGGGGAAATGGTCAGGATGAGGGGAGGGAAGGGAGGGAGCGAGGAGGGGGGAAATGGTCAGGGTGAGGGGAGGGAAGGGAAGGAGCGAGGAGGGGGTAGAGAGTCGAGGGGAGCTGAAGGCACGGTCAAAGAGAAAGGTCTTGAAGGAGGAAAGGGAGGAGGCGGCGAAGGCACTGGGGATAGAGTTCCAGAGCCTGGGGGCTGAGAGGCTGAAGGCCCGACCACCGATGGTAGGGCGATTGGGGCGGGGGACGTGGAGCAGACCGGAGCCAGAGGAACGGAGGGTATGGGCAGGTAGGTAGGGGGAATAGTAGGTCAGAGAGGTAGGAGGAAGCAAGGCCATGAATGGCCTTGTAGGTGAGGATGAGGATCACCTCATCACCAGCTCCGCAACCACTGCAGATTTATGCTTACATTAAACTGTTTCTCTCGCCCTGTGCTGTTACGTGCAGAGTTATTTAGGGCTCTGTCTCGGCCCTGGATCCTTGCCCGTCTTTGCATCTATTTGCTTCCACTCAGTGACAACATACGAAGACATGGGTTTCATAAAGATGGTTATTCCCCTATATTTCTGTTCTGCAACTGTTAGCGTTATATAGATGAAATTTATCACCTAAATCACCTTTATCACCTGTGGAGTCCTGTAGCTCAGTGGTTAGAACACTCGCTTTGCAAATGAGAGACCTGAGTTCAATTCCAGGCAGANGCGAAACCTTGGGCAAGTTTCCTTACTCCACACAGAGCCTAATAATAATCCCTTCAAAAATCAAAAACAATAATAAATTGGTCATTTTCAATCTACGACTGTTTGTGGGACATTGCTGTGCGCAATTGGCTGCCGCGTTCGCCCACAAATATACAGTCAATTCACTTTGCAGTATGTTCTGTGAAGCGCTTTGGGACGTCCTCCCGACGTGAAAAGCGCTATATCAAATGCAAGGATTATTATTATTATTAAATACAACAACTTGCATTTATATAGAGTTTTTCACAGGGGTAATATCTCAGAGCCCTTAAAATAGAATAATGTTGAAGAATGTATTCTTTTCTCAAGTTAAAAAGAAGGGGTTTGGTTGGAACCAGCTCTTGTATCGCATGGCAACAATATACATTCGCTACATTTTGCAGTAAAGCTTGTGAAGTGCTTTGAGACAGTTCATCAAATGCAAGGATTATTACGTTTTCATTGTATGAATCATAAATAGTGATGCATTTGTTGTACACTTGTGGAAAGCAATTTTACAATTACCTTTCCCCTTTTTGGCATTAATCATAGGTGGCTGAATATGCTGTGTTAGAAGAGCAGCTGCAAAAAACCTTAGCAGATCTGGAAAAAAGGGAACGGCAACTTGCTAACGGTGAATTGGAGGTAAATGTGCTGCAATTTATTTTACCTTGCTGAAAACTTTTGAGTAAAATCTTTTATTTAACACTGTTCATCTGCCTTTTTAATGTGGTATGAATGCTCAAATGACAGATTCACAGTGTAAATATGTAATTTTAAAAAAAAACTACAGTGGTACCTACAGCAGATTAATTCCTGGAGAAAATTAAAAGTTCATCTTTTCCCACATTCAAAACTTTTGACTTTAACTGAAATGTTTTGAAACTAAATTTTACTTCAGGTTAATATGTTGGCACTGCAATATGAGTTTGGGACAGTTCAGGGTGAAATCCCTCAGTCTCCTCGTATGAACTGTAACTTTTTATATAAGTAGGCTGATAATCTCCTCATAACACTTAACTGAAGATTTGATGCATTTTATAGCATTGCATGACTATCCACCCAATAAACCTAACATTATAGAGTTTATTGTACAGTTTAATTCTATTCACATCTAACAAAACAAAGTGCAGGAAAGACATTGTAGATCTTCCAATCGTATGGTCCATCTTCCATATGTGATTAAAATCATCATTGTTCTACAGTAAAACCCACAGAAGTTGTATCAGTTGGGACCATAACATTTAATATGACTTTCATGTCTGAGTTACAGACAAACTTGTATAAATCGTATAAAATCCGATTTCATCAATCATCTCCACCTCACATGCATAATTCAATGCACTTGGTAAGTGCGCAGCCCGTGATTCAATGGGTCTTGACTGGTTGCTGTATGTGCACTTACCGGCAAGCATTGGAATCACATTGAATCACAGGAAATGAAGTTCTTCTGTGCATGCAGCAATGGGTCAAGACTACGTATTCTGTGATTCATTGCAGCCCGCCGGTAAATGTGCATGCTTCCGACGGGTCAGGACGTCATTTCCCATGATTGATAAAATTCCTTCATTAAGATACGAGTGGTGCAAAGAAATCTAAACGGTTTTAGATTTATAAACATAAGACTTATGCAAGTTTTACTGTATTATGACTTTCAGTTGAAGACTGGAATAAAAATTGTTGGAAATATTGATTTTGCAAGAAAGTCATTTTTTTTGAAGAACTGCTGATAAAATCAAATCTTATTTAGTATCACAAAAAATATTCAATGTTGTATTCAATTGCATGGTCCAGCTTGACTGTATTTTTTATATAAAACTGTAAAATCGAAACCACTTGGGTTCATTAGCAAATCGATATGAAAGAATCATTTACACATTTCATAGTGTAAGTCGATGTAAATCTGTTTTGTAAGGGGCTTCAGAGATTCTTCTTCAGCATTTCAGGTGTGATAAATTACTCTACCGGTTCTGTCTCAAAATTGTGAGAATAATATCCAGCAATGGTTTGCAGACACTGTCAAAGGCTTGCAGACAGTTTTTCAATATTCCTAATCGTATTGAAAGTACACTTCAAATTGGGTTTCTGGTCACTCCATTTTCTTGGAAATACAGTTCTCTGAATTAAAGCAGTCCATATGTTACTAAAAATACCTCCGCCTGGATGTTTGTGGACTAGAAATAGTTGGGTATACATTGGCACGCTTGGTTTCTGGCTGCCTGTGGAGTCCATAAAGCTGCATGACCTAATCTTATAATAATTATAATAATACTTGCATTTGATATGGCACCTTATTATGTTGTCATTCCATCCAAAAGCACTTCACAGGAATTATTGTAAAGTAATTGGTGGGTGAACACGGCAGCTAATTTGTGCACAGCAGTGTCCAACCAACACGTATGAAGAAATGACCAATTTTATTTGGGGGATTGATGGCCAGGACTCCAGGAGAAAAATCCTTCTCTTTTTTGAATAGTGAGAGGGGATCTTTAACAATGAAGATTAGCACAGGCAGATGGAACCTCAGTTTAATGTGTCGTTCAAAGGACTGCATCTCTGACAATGTAAAACCACTTTGCATCTCTGACAATGCAGCACTGCATTGGAATGTCATCTTGGACTATGAACTCAAAGATTCAATGTGGGACTTGACCCCACAATCTTGTGACTCGAATTGAGAATGGTACCAACTGAGCCAGACTGATGTCTAATCTTAGTTTTGTGAGGGATAAAATAGAAATTCACTCCCAATAATTTGAATCTGGTACTGTGCATTAAATAGTTTCCCATTATGTGGGATGACATGTCTGGAGTGATGTCTAGTGTTTTTTTAATAATGAAATTTTGTGTGTAAGAGATGCATTTTTTTGAATGAAGCTTCATAGACTGAAGAAAGAGTTACAAGATGACCACGATCGGACCTTACGGGAAATGCACGACACCATTAGACGCGTCAATGAAGACTCTGTCCATCAGGTGGAACTGGAAAGGTCAAAGTTCAAGGTTCTGGAAGAGGATAAGCTACGACTACAACAGCAGGTAAGCACTCTGCTATATGGCCAATGTAAGAGTTCTGACCTCTTCGCTGTAAAATGCTGTTCAGGCTAAATGCTGGACTGATTGGATCACTGTTGGTTAGTGCCGCTTATTTATTGCGTGCTGATCTCATCCTAAATCTAAATGTCTAATCTAAATCCATTGGTGGGAGAGCCTTCAGCCACTCTGCCCCCAACCTCGGAAATTCCATCCCCCAATCACTCAGTCTCGCCCCCTCCTTAGCCTCCTTCAAGATCCGCCTTAAAACCCTCCTCCTCGACCATGCCATCTGTCAGCCCCCTTCTTCCGCCCCCCCAACCCCAGCTCAGGTCTGAAATGCTGTACACTGTCCAGCGCCTCGGGACATCCTCCCGACATGAAAGGCGCTATACACAAAAACATGCACCCATGGAAATCCTTTTTTAAAATTAAATTTTGAATTTTAAAATTAAATTAACAATAACACTCCCAGTGTTACCATTTCAGTATGAATGAATCGAAGAATGAGTAGCTACACTTTTGTGCCCATTTATGTTCTGACTGTGATAATAGAGGTGTCTGCATCATTCAGGGGATTTCACTCTCAGACTCCATCTCCTGGAGAATGTTTCATCCTTTTCTTTCATTTAGCCAAAGTGATTTTTAAGCTATAATAGGAAAGGGACATTTAATTCTGATTTTACATTACATTATCCATACATTTCAGCTTTCCGAAAATCTGGATCATATTCCATCTCTTTTACCAAGGAGGAGTCCAGTTGCATTTGACTATCCTCAAACTTAAAGCAAATCCCAGAACTCATTTCTTTTCTCTGAATCTCCAAAACAATGACTGAAATTGCACAGAATATTCAATTTTGACTATTAAATTTATGGAACAGATAACATGCCTAAATCTACTTAAAATCAAATGCAATTGATGATTTGTGAGACTTAACTAACATTAATAAAAATGCATTTACTGGGTGCTTGTAACTTGTAGTGAATGAATCATCGATACAAATCCTTTCTCCTTTTCCACCCTAGTTATTCAAAGATTTACAAAGAATATCCAGCACAGAAACAGGCTTTTTTACCCAACCAGTTTGTGCCTCATCTTGCTTTTACATGTACGAAAGTGCATAGCTTTACATATTTCTACATTTAAATTGAGTCAATTCTTTATTTCATATGTCCAGAAATTTTGGAAAAAACATTTAGACATGTACACTATATGTGTGTGTCAACAACAACAAATTACACTTGTATAGCGTCCTTCACATCGGAAAGCTTAATGGGCATTTAGCTTGATGTGGGGTGTGATGTTGTCTCCAGCTTGTCTGATGTTCAAGTCTTTCCCATTGTTGGTGTCTTTTTTGATAAGGTACTAAAATCTAGTCTGTTGGAGTGAGTATATTCAGCTTCTGTCTCTTTCTAATCTGAGTCTCTGATTCTACAACCATTGGTGTCTAGCTTTGTAAATAGGATCTAAATGTTCCAGTCTCACTAGCTGGCAGGCCATCTTACACTGTTGCCAGTTCACTTGGACAGTTACTATGACATTGGCTAATTTTCAAATAGATGAATTTGTCTGACAAGGTTATTCCTTATGCATATAGTAAACTACACCATGAGTTATTCTCACGTAAGGGTAGTGCTATTCTTGGTTTAAATGTTCCAAGATTAACGTTGGGTTGCTGTGTTGGTTTTCTAATATCCATTGGGCTTAAATCAGAACCTTAGAGCATCATTTAAAGCTCAGTAGTGATGTTTCCATTTCCCACAATGACCGTCAGTATATTTTAGGAAGCTTTGTCATTTGGATATAAAATGACAGACTGTTCACAAAGTACTTTTTAGACATGAAAGAAAGTTCTGACAGCTTTGAACTGAATCCAAGTGCTTTGTTTCCCATTGGATCTCAGTTGGCGAATATAGTGTAGTTCTTGCTGCAAATGTGAAAAATGCTTTATAACCATAATTAGTTGGATTCTAATAGGACCCTGCTGTACATATTTGTGTAATGTTGACCATGATCATATTTCTGTCAGATGATCTATTGTTTTGGATTGCGTTCAGATACATTTCAATGGTTACTAAATTGCTGATGAAGTTTTTCCAGCAACTTACATTTTTATCTCTGCAATCTGTATGTTAATTTAAACTTCAGTTTTCAACTACTGCCAGAGTTCAAAACAGGTTCTTTCTCTGCAACCCATCATGTATATTATAAGGTCAGAGGTATTCAGCATTAGAACATTAATCAGTGAAATCCTGATGCTTCACTTCTTAAAAATTGTTACTCAGCTATTGTCCAAAGAGCCATTTTTCATTTACCCAGGAGAGTGAGATTCTTAAAGAAATGTGATCCATGTATCTGCTATTCAGTTAATGAAGTAACACTTGGTAAATAATTGTATGGTTGTTAAAAATTACATCGCATATGTTGTGCAAACTGACAAAAAGAGTTTGCTGAATCGATGGATAATTAATGATGTGCTGTAGAGGATTAAACCAGTTATGTGTCGCTGCTTTGTGTCTTTGCCTGCACTGTCAGCAGGATGTAAACAATGAAATTATTCATCCATTTGCAAACCAGAACTAGATTTGTGTTTCCAGATTCTCACAGTTAGCCTATATATACTTGTGTTGAGTTAGAAGTCCATTTGAATGTGGTATTTTTTTTACACACCATCTGCTTTATGTCTGAGGGATAAGTTGAGTTTCTTTAGTTTCTTGAAAGTTCATTTTTATTCTCCCTTGAATCCTATCTAGCTCCATGAAGCAGAACAGAAGTACAAACTGCTTGAAAAAGAGTTCCATCAGTACAAGGAGCAGCAGAGCAGCAAACCTGAAATTCGACTGCAGTCAGAAATCAATCTTTTAACTCTTGAAAAGGTAGAGAACATTTGTAAACTGCAATTTGAAAAACAATTGTGCATTATAAAATGCAGGGCAAAATCTTTATTGTGAGTTTAAATATAAATTAATTATGAAATCCATGTAATTTTTTAAAAAAAGATGCACTAGCTGTAAACTTAAAGGCTTGCTTTGGAGTACGTATTGAACCAGATCGATTGCCCTTGCAAACTACACTACCTGGTAAAATGAACTGGAGTGGAAAATGACTACACTTACAGCAAGCAATTGGACCCTTTTGCGATCTAAATAGCTCAAGCACTAAACCCTTCTCCCTGGGGAGTAAAATCCAGACAGATTAATTTGGAATTGTTAGCCCTATAATGAAGCCCTCAATCGCGATGAACATAACAATACTAATTTTCACTCTTGAGAGAATAAAGTGTGCATATATTTTATTTGTGAAGGGATTTTTTAATGTGTTTTTAATTAGAATTGTTTTTGTGCTTTTAAATTGTTTTAATATGAATAATTAAATTAGATTAAGTTTTACTGTGGTTTTACTCATCTATTGCTTGAACTTTTGAAAATGTGAAATGTAATCTTTATCTTCCACCCTCTTGCAGGGAATTGTATTCGGTCAGAGGCTTATCTGTTTGAGCTTTCAAACCGTAATTGTGTCTTTATATTGTTTTTATTGTTACTAAATTTCTTTAGCAAATTTAAAAATAATTTCCTGTTGCATAAGATACAAATTTTGATTATCATATTTGTGCTTTTTTCAATTCCATTGGTTTCAGGTATTTGGCTACTGTTTAGACGATCATACAAAATAAGAAGATAATTGTGCAAATGAACCAAATGTAAATTATTTATTAGGTACAGATTGACATTGACGAGGTGTGACAAAATATATAGGTTTGAGTAATTTCCAGAATATAACGTTATGCTACAGAACAAATGTAAATACTTTTGAACACAACAGATATTTTGCTGCCCCTGCCCCCATCCCCACCACACAAGACTTCAGAGCAATAAACACCAGGCCTGGATAACACAAGTTTATATGTATAAGCTTATACAACTTTTCAAACTGCACTTATTTCTACGCAGAATGCTTTTCAGCCACCAATTTAATATTGCGGCAAACCTACTCCCCCAAAAAGTGTTTGACGTTTCCCAATTATTTGAAGCTCTTTGGGACGTCCTCCCGACGTGAAAAGCGCTATATCAAATGCAAGGATTATTATTATTATTATTTTAAAGTTTTGCAACTATTGAGTTTTTAACTTCATAACTACATATCAATTTGATGGTGGAACTAGAGACGAGTGAGGAGTGCATTTGGAAAGTCTAGGCAGGAGGTAACAATGATGCCAATAAGGGTTTGGGTAAGATTGGGCAGAGGAAGACAATGTGACAAAGGTGAACAAAAGTTGCAGTGAAAGTTGTATCTAGCCCGATGACAGCTGGGCAAATAAACATGCATGTGGGGCTGAAAGGGTTAATCTGCGGAGGAAGTGTCTGGAATTTGTTCTACCTGCAACTCATTTTTTTTAAAAAAATTGCAATCTTATTGAAGTGGAAGAATTGGATTGTTCTTACATATATATTTTATTTACTGCCCTTTTTAACCGATAAACATTTCACCATGTTCCTGATTCATATTACAGGCTTGGTGCAATCTGAAATTTAATGCCTCTGTTATATTTTTTCTATGTATATGTGTTAAATGATATTCAGTTTTAGTTGAAGCCATCATTTCTGATGGCTCAGCCACCTTTTCTGTGATTGCCACAAACTGACTATTGTCTCATTTTATAACAAAATAAATGAAGGAAAACAATTTAGCTGCCCATGACAAACCCATATCTTGTGCCTCCCCTGTTTCCTTTGAAACAAAGTATCTCAGCATTCACAAAGATAACATTACAGATCCCTTTCACATTTCTGGAACTTCTGGCTATAGCTATTTTACAGCAGATATCTAAAACTGTTCCATTTCCAACTTTTACAAGGGGTTGAAATAAACTATTACTGTGCTGGAATGTTGACTGTTGAATCCTCAAAGTATAATTCCATCTGATTATAGTTTGTTTGCTTTGCTGACCAAAATGTTTATGTCGACTGTCAATAGTTTAAAAAACGTATTGTATGTGAAGTGCAAGAGTAGCAAATTGCAATCCCATTTTATGACCAAAGGCTCAGTCTCCAATAATATTTACATTGAGTGTTATGATCTTCTGTTTGATGAACAGCATGATGAAAATTGTATTCTAGTGGTCATATTACATCAACTATAATATTTTAACCTTCACCCTTTTTATTAGGTAGAATTTGAGAGGAAACTGGAGTCGGCCACCAAATCCAAATTACATTATAAGCAACAATGGGGACGAGCTCTGAAAGAGCTGGCAAGGCTGAAACAGGTAAAGTACCTCCTAAGTGTTTAAAATAATAAACCTTAACTGTGGCTTAATTGCCTATTTCCAAGCAAAGAACATACAAAGGCAATGAATAAGAAAATGTGATTTAGCCTTTCAAGCATTGTCCTTCCACAGACCAGGCAAAGTCCACCTATTGCCCTCAACCCCCCACGTCACCTTATCTCTGGGGGAAATCTCCACAATTTCACTCTGGTCTCTTTTCCTCCACAAACATAAGGTGCAGTAAGTCAGTACACTGACTGACTTGCTCAGACTAGATGCAAACAAATAGTAAATTATATTAAAGATGTGCTTTTTCAACAAAATGTTAAAATATTTTTGTGGGACTGGAGAAAAAGTTGTTTTCCTGAGATAAATGTTGCTTTATGTGAGATACATTTTAGCACAGAAGTGTGCAAGGATTCATTTCAACTGAAGACCCCCACAGTATAAGATTAAAAATGATGGATACATGAAAACATTTTGCACACAATTAATGAGTTGAAGTCTTTATGGATTTCTGTCCTTATAAGATGTGAAAGAAATGAGTGATCTTTCATTGTACAACATAAAATCTCTGCATACATCAATATGGTGGAACAGTAGGAGGTCTTTCACAATGGAGTTCGCTAAAATATGATCTGTAGCTTTGTGTATTTATATTAGTAGTTTCATTCTAAATTTATGAATGTGCAGTTCTGACGTTTATTGGATCAAGACTCACAAAACCGCTCTCTTTGCTGCAACACGCTTTGTTTAAATAGAAGGGTTTCTTTAGCTTGCAGATCTCTCCTCTGGCTTGTGTGCTTTGAAAGCTGTCATAAATCTTTTTAATTTTCTTGCGAAAACAGTGTCAAAACGTGACTCTTCCTTTCTCTGTTCCATCCTCTCCCCTCTCTTTCTCTCCCCCCACCTGAAGCCATTACATTCTTAACCGAATAGAGGGAGGTCTGAAATCTTGGTCAGTATCTCTCCAAAATCTTAGTGGAGGCCTGTCGAAACTTTTCTATAACTGTTACATTCACAGGGAAATATCAATGTTTCCCAATAAAATGTCGATGACAATATCCAGCTGTAACTTGCTTGATATCGGATGCAATGCATTTGGTGACTTTTGTGCTCGAGTTGCTAATATTTGCAGCTAACGCAAATTGGCTTCACTTCAATCAAAACCATTTTGCCTGCAAAAGCTGTGCTACTTTTAGTGACCATGAGGAAGGCTATAGCATTTAGATAGTGTTCCATTTCTCCTATTCCCCCTCCCCCAAAACACATACACACCAAACCAGCTTGTTCTGCTGTTATTAAGTGGCTTTTTGCTGTCTAAAAATGGTCTGTGAGAATTCAGTCAAAAATCTGAAGATCTTCATAATTTCCTGGCAATTGCAGTGTCTTGTCAGAGGTGGGTGGGGTGAATCTTCAGATGTCTCCATTCCGAATAAGCAAGCTGATTAATTTCTGAGCAATTTTTCAAAGATATGGTGAAAATCTTCTTAGAAAGCACTTCAGGGTCCAGTTCCATGTAAAAATGATGTCTTGAAGCCATCCAGACCCTCCTACCCACTTGTCAACTCTGGGTTATTTTCAGAAAACTACACTTGAGTTCTTTAGCTTCTGCCAAGGGTTATTCCCACAGCTCAGCGATTGGTATGTGAAGTGGGAGAGTATATGGTGGCCAATGTTTGACCATTGTTTAGTCTAATGGATGTGTGTTTACATCGCCTTTCTAGATTTATGGACAGCACTACCCAAGCAAAGCTGTTTATTCACTTGATAGAGAGGCCTCTTAGCAATGGCACCTGTAAATGAGGATTCTATTTTTCCGATCTAGTGATGGTGTTCCAGTGTTGCCAGTCCCAAATAACCAAGATCACAAGACAGTAATGAAAAACATCACTGGCTTATATTCAAAAAAATGTTTTTTTAAAAAAGCTTTTATATTCTGCACTTTTTGCAACACTGCACTCTTTTCTACAGCTAAACCTTTTACATGTGCAAAATCTATTGTTTTTTTTAGAAACATACTTAAAAACTAAATAAAATTGTTCAGGCTCTTTTGTTTACAACTCATATCAAATGTATAAATATATATTATATCCAGCGGCTTGGGACGTCTTCCAGATATGAAAGGTGCTATACAAATGTAATTTTGTATTGTATTTTTTATTCTATCAATTTTAAGAATTATTTATTATTCTCTCCCAGTTGGTAGCTTGAGTAACTCTTAAAGTCTCCTCTCTAGCTTCTTTTTTCAAGGATGAAGAGCCATTTATTCAGACCACAATGATTCAGATTCATTAGACTAATAAAAGGTGGCTTGATGCATCCAGAATGTTCAGTTTGTAATGAGCAAGAGGTTGCTGGTAAAGATGAGCCTGGAAAGGAATAATATTTAGTATGATTTTGTTTGTTTTAGCGTGAGCAAGAAAATGCTATGGCCCGTCTTAAGAGACAGCAACAGGAGCTAGAACACATGAGACTGCGGTATCTGGCAGCTGAGGAGAAAGAAGTGGTTAAAACCGAGAGACACGAACTGGAGGAGATTAAAAATGAACTTAACAGGTACCAGACGCTGGGAAAACCTTCTGTGCAGCATTTGATCCAGGCTTTGCTCAAGATTTCTATTCTGAGATAAGATGTAAAGTTTAGAACAGAAATCTCGCAAGAATGATGTGCAAATTCTATAGAAAGAACCGTAAAGATGAGCATCTGTAGTGTAAAATCCTAAGCATTTTACCCTGAATGGTTTAGCAAAATGGAAACTTTATCTTTTTTATAATGGATAATTTTATCTCATTTTTAGCAACCAGAAAACATTGAAGGGCCCTGCTTACAATTCCATTTCTATGTTTAACCTGAATGTATTTGAGCCCATTTTTTAATTCTATATAATTTTCCATTACAGTAGCTGGATTTTGCTCTTGGATTCGTGTAGCATTCGAATCAGCAGTAGTTTTCATTCCTTTAGTGGCAGATTAAAATGATGGATGGCTTCAGTCTCTTGCAGTCTCAAGTGCTCTGGGACTCTACCCTGCGTGAGGGGTGCTATATTAATGCAAGTTGTTGTTGCATGAATGCAGTGCTGAAGCTTGAGACCCAAACAAAGCATCATATCTTAGCAACTTACATTGTGAAGGATCCATACCATTTCACTTTGCTACGATTGCAATCTGACTTACAGGCCACTTTTGTATAACTTGCACGAATCGCAGATTCTGCCATTTCCATTATTGAGCTCTGCCTCTACTAGGATAGTCATGCCATACATTCTGCAATTTTGTTACAATCAACAGTAAAGTTTAAAGTGAAGTTCAGTGAGGTTATTGCCAGCAGGAGACGCCAAACCAAAGCAGAAAATGCAATCTCTACCAGCGCAACAACATCAGTTTGTGTGAGCCATGTACAAGAGTCAGTTCAAAATTATTCAGGTTGAAGAGGGCAGGTGGGTGAATAGCTCCTAAGCATCTGCCAAGATTGCTCTGAAGCTGTCTGCTAAGAGGGGTGTGTGCTCAGAATAACTTTCCCTCAGACATCTGCAGTGTACAGGAAGCACTTGGCTTCTGCTTTGCGGATTGCCGCAGTGTTGTGGCTGAGATTGCCATCTCAGTGTGTACAGATTCCTTCTTCTGCAGTGATTGATACAACACGTACACTGAATGGTTCCTGACAGAAAAAAGAACCTCCATTTTTATAGTGCTTTGTCTCATTGAAACATCTCATAGTGCTTTACAGTAATTCAGATTTCCTTGTGCTAGCCCTTATATACAAACACATGAAACCCTAAAATGTCTCGGCTGAGTGTATGATCTATGTGGATGTTTGCATTTCCCTGTTGCCCATGGCTCAGTTCCTCTGCATTTGTCAGATTAAAGCATCAAGAAGAGAAAAAAGAAGCTATGGAGTTGCAAGATCCTGCCAGTGGGAGGGGAAACAGCCATCGTCATGACCACCCAGATGAGGCCTTGGATGAGTATCTCACTCGGCTCATAGAGGAGAGGGACACCTTGCTAAGGACTGGGGTTTACACCCATGAAGATCGGATCATCAGTGAACTGGACAGACAAATACGAGAAGCTATGGAAAAGAGGGAGCGGCATAGATAAAATAATGCACCCAGTGAAATCTTTGCACAGACTACAAACACACAAAGACAATTCTTAACCACAGTGCTTAACCATACTGGATTACAACTGCTGGAGTTTTATTAATCATTACCACTCTGAGGTTTAATTTAGAATGGATTTTGGAATTGATACTAAACTGTTTATTTGAGATTCCTATGAATAGTAAAATTGTATAATTTTTATAGTAGCACATGACAATTGTTCAAAGTGTGTGAATCTGATTTCGTTTTATATGTACAGTCTCTTTTCCATAAATGTGTGCATTTTAAAACATGTAAATAGCTATTAAACTATTTTTCGAGAGTAAATGTATTCAAATTAAAATAATTGTTAATTTATGAAAAAAGGAAAAATCAGCCCCTGGCTGATAGAAAAATTACACTCTGGGGTGAAATTTGCAGCATTTCATAACTCAAAAAGTATGTTTTTTTAAATAGAATACATTTTGAAAAGCAATATAACTGAGGATAGGCAAAGTATACTGCATTAAGTTCACAACCAGCAGCTCTGGTAAACTTTTGAAGCCCTGCAAAAGTGAGGACCAGACAATTTGACTTTATTCGACTGCAATGTGTACACTGATGCTGAAACGTGCATTGCAACCTCAGGAGCTGGAGGTCAAAAATAAATAAATCACTGAAGAATATCCTAACATACATCTGGGTATTTATTATTCAACTGAAAATCTACTTACAATGCATGAGGACTTATCAATCTTTTGTGCAACTTTTGTACAATGGTTTATTTTTATAATGCAGCAATTCAGCTTGTGGTTTCAGTTTATTTTCCATCTAGAGGTCATGTTCTAGTCTTCAAATTATTTCTAGTTTGACTTGTGTGATTTGAAAATCTAGAGGAAAAAAGAACTTGTAATTTTCGAGGCCACCTCTGAAGTGATTGACTATCAAGTGTGACATTTTTTAGATAAACACACCAACCCTTTATCCCAAACAAACTTCTGTGAATTGAATAGAGGATTGGCAGCTAAGAAACTAATCTGCATGAAACTACACTTTTGAAAAATGTGATGGGGTCTTTTATCAGTAAGATGTCAGCTAAATGTCACTTGACAATACAGTGCTCCCCCAATAGTGAACAAGAGTGTTGACTTGAACGACAAGCTCAAGTCCTAACAGAGGGTTAGAACTCATAACTTTTTGATTTGGAGGTAAGAATGCTACCATGAGCCAAACTTTCACACACATCAAGCACCAACATAGAAATATTAATGCCTGAAATCTGCTCCTTTCGTGAAAGGACAGTTGTTATTGCAATCCTAGAAGGTATTTCATACTGCATTTAAATTAAGTTGAATGTTTGTACAGATTAATTTCTTGCTGTATATCAAATTACAACATTTGAGAGCGTTGTCTGAAAAAAGTTGAATACATTCTTCCCAGTATTTTCAATGCAGTTCTTTTTCTGAACTGTTTTACTTTAAGTTTTTCCTTAGGAATTAATCTTGATAGAATTATGGAGGATAAGAGCAGATCAGTGGCACTCTTCTTGAGTTAAAATGGTGAGATGTGACTTATCTCTGCTTCTCTCCCCCAAGAATCCAGTGGAGACTGGACTACTTCAGCAGATCCTGCAAAATGGTTATCCTTCACCCCTGGCTAACAGGAGATTATAATAGATCTGAGGAGAAGTAAATACCCCTTGTACCAACAATAGAAAAAAATCTAATATCAGCATTGCATAATAATTATGAGAAAACTAAATCATTAAGGCATAGAATAAGCCCACAGTGTACACACAGCCACATCACTTTACAGTAAATCCTGTCAGGCGTTTTGAGACGACTTGACAATGTGATCCTCCTTCCTGTTAAGTGTTCTGCGATGCTGTCGGTGTGAACGGCGCTACATAATTGCAAGTTATTGTATGATAAGGTGCTATATGAAATGTAAGTATTTGTTAAAGTGTAAAATCTCCCACGAATTCAGTTATTTAGGACAAACGTGAAGCTCCAATACCAATCAGCAGAGGGCGCTGCCTTCTACAAAAATGCACCTGTTCTCGGCATTTCTCTTATTTGTAAAATTGTGGGGTTTGCAATTGTTCCACATCAGTGGTTTGTGTGTGTGCAGTGAGTTTCATTTTATATAAATGTAAGAATGCCTCAAAATACTTTCTTGCTGTCAAACTAGTTTGCTCATTTTTAAAAAATTGCTATGTGATATTTTATTACCATTATTTTACTATTATTATCTCTTCCTGTGTATGGACTGTGTATTTTTGTAGGCGATCATGGCAGTCAATTGGGTACAGCAATATCCCTTATGTAGTGAGTAACCAATTTTATTTGGGGGATAGTTTTGGCCAGGACACTGGGAGAAACCCTTGTCTTTTCAAACTGTGGCTTGGGATCTTTAATATCCACCCGAATCGGCAGGCGGGACATTCGTTTAACATTACATCCAAAGGACGACACCTCTGAAAATGCAACAGTTGTCAGCACCATATTGGAGTGTTAGCCGAGGCTGGGAATCAGTCCCTACATGGAGGCTTGAAACCTCAAACATCTGGCTCGGAGGCAAAAGTGCTACCAGTAAGCCAGACTAACACTAGCTATGAACATGCGTTGATTACAACTAAATATTTCTTGATTTGTGACAAAACAAAATGGTGCACGCCAGCAGCTTGGATCCACGCTGAGAGGTGCAGTTGACAAAATAGAGATCAAAGCTGAATAAAACAACCCATGGCATTTTATAAGCGTTAAGGTATATTCAACCTGTCGGATGTCAAATGACTCAATAGTGACTATCCTCCTGGAGGTGGAGATAATAATAATAATCCTTGCATTTGATATGGTGCCTTATCGCGTCTTTGAGACGTCTCAAAGCGCTTTACAGTATACACTGTAAAGTGAATTGACTATATTTTGTGGATGAGCTCTCCTTGGAACTGAGCTAATTCCAAGGTGATGCGCTTTGGCAATGAAATGTCAGAATCAGGCCAACTCTCAGTGGCAGTTTCAGCAGTCCCAATTCCTGAGCCGGGTGTGTCAGCAGTACTCTAGGGCACTACATTTGACAGACCAGCTAGCTGGCTTGTCAACAAGACATGAAGGGGTAAATCAGTCACTGAGAGCAGAAATTCTTCCCACTTGGTTCCTGTTAACCCTACAAGCCAAAGCCTTAATGGGGAAGCTAGATACCGATTAGCAGCAGGAAGTGGGAGACTGAGCTTGCAATGACAAACTATTGGTCTTAGCTGGTTAAGCTCCAGCAGAACCGCAACACATACTTTGAAGACCATTCAATACTACTTTTGCAGTTTTGGGGCTGCAACACAACCTTGAGGTTTATACAAAGTTCACCTCCTTCTACAGTGTATGAATAGGTTCAATCAGGAATGAATTAATCCAATGTAGACTTACACTGGACTGATGGAGTCATAGAATCATAGACAATTTATAGCATAGAAAATAAGCTGTTCAGCCCATCATGTCTGCTGGTGCTAGCTCCCCCAATATAATCTACGCTAATCCCCTTCCCTGCTCTTTTTCCCGTACCCCTTAATTGTTTTTCCCTCAAATATTTATTAATTTCTTTTTATTGCTGTTATGTTCTCAAATTCAATAGCCGTTTTCGGTAAGGCTTTCCAAATGGTAACAAGCCTCTATCTCTGGATAAAAAAAGTCTGTCCTTTGAAAACGTTGCTACAAAATGGTTTTGACTTCGATTGTCAGAACTTATATCTGGCATTTATCCCATCTAGATGTCCAGGTCATCTTTAACTGCATCGCCTTTGATATTAGTATCAGCCTCTGAAGTTATCCTTTTATGCCAGTAGCTATCAGTTCCAACAGATTCTAGAGGTCTTTATTCTGGGAGACCAGTCTCAAAGTGAGTGGTATTATCATTTTTGATTTATTAAAGGTACAATTGGATCCTCTGAACCTAAGGAAGAGGATGGAACCATTTGTTTCCACCGTTCCAATTCTGGAGAGATTTATTTTGACTTGAACGCCAGCATTGCAGCAAAACTGAGCAATACTAGCCCAGGAAAACTTTCCATCAACCTTGTTTTCATTTAGATTTGGTGGACCTTTTGTACATTCCTAAGGTTTGCAAGATTTCCATTTTTTCCCCTACAGAAAACTCACAATCTGCTATGTGGACACATACGTCAGTTTTCCTTGGCGCTTCTATACAAGCTGTACAGTCACTCCAAGCACAGAAAGGACCTTCACTTCACCATATGTAGTTTCCTATTCCATGTGCACTGTACCCCCAGGTGACTTGTTCAAGGTGGTTCCATTGCGTCCTCACTCACACATCGGGTAGAATTACACATAGTGTTAAATATAACAGATTGGATTATTCAGGAGGTGTTGGAGGTAGATTGTGCCAGAATATCAAACAGACCTGTTTGGTAGAACAATGCATTAAGCGTATGCGAGATAGAGTAATATAGAGTTTCTATTAAGTTTTGGGTCAGCCAAATGGACCACAATGGTGTTTTCTGTATATTTCTATGTTACTTTGTTTTTGACAATTTGAATCGAAATGCCCAGGGAGAGAGATATCAGTGAACACACATTAGGAGGGCTCTTTTCTCTGTATCCTTTGATATTTTTTGCCCTAGAATTTATAATTTTTTCTCAATATGTACCTCTTTCAATCATTTTTGTCCTTCCCATCCTCCCGTTCCCACCCCCACCTTGAGTGACCATCCAGCACTGTCAAGGGTTTTGAGACATCCTCCCAACATGAAAGGGGCTATAAAAATGTAAATTGTATTGTAATAATAATAATCTGCATTTCATATAGCGCCTTATCACATCATCAAATTCAACAGCTATTTTGTGCAAGGCATTCCAAATGATAACAACCCATCCTAGGTAGTCCATTCTTTATATTAAACACTATAATTCTGGAAAATATTTTTGTTGTGATGGTTGAGATGAAGTAAAGTCTCTTTGTACCAGTAAAGTTTCTTTTGAACCTATCTGCAAGGCATCTACACAGTGATCCTTCCAGCAGTGGGCTTTTACAGCATCTGCATGCTTTCATGCAGTGTTACTATCTTGATCTGTCACCCACCATAAAGCAATGAGAATATGAGTCATCATTCCAGAGACGTGTCAACATACACTTTCATCGCCCTCACTGTTAGAAATTTAATGGAGCTTTCCTTACCTGAGCAGTAATTATTCAAGAAGTGGGAATCATTCCAAAAGAAACTTATCTTGTAACCAGATTTTAAAAAAATATTTAAAGCTGATCACAAGATTGATGTCCTATTTGTACGGTGCATTTTGCATCAATTTGAAAATAGTGCTAATTCAGTGCTAAAAAATACAATATAAATCTTGTGATCTTGATCTTACAGATCTTACTGCCTGCCCAAATCACTTTGAAAAGGTGTTTTTCCCAGGAAGTAAAATTAATAATAATCCTTGCATTTGACATAATGCCTTTCATGTCAGGAGGATGTCTCAAAGTGCTTGAAAGGATTTATTATAAAATGGAATGACTGTGTTTTGTAAGTGAAGCTGCAGTATAAATATAAATAGAAACTATGCAAATCTTTCAGTCCCAACTGAAAAACGATCCCTTTAAAGTGTTTGGGCAATTTAAGACATTTTAAGATGCTATTATTAACAGTATTTGAAAAGATGAAGCAGTGAGCCAGCAGTGACTCC